TTGTTAAATATGTTCATATTACACTAAAGTGCGACTCATAAACTGTTGGAGTTGGCCAAAAAAAGACTAATAATTTTTTTATCCAGGCGAAAAATAAATATTTTTTTTTTTTTTACAGAACGGTCCATCAAATAATGAGAATTGACTTATTCTCTCAATTTAAAATCATAAGGCACTTTTAATTAATTTACATGTACCGAATGAGTTGGGTAACGACATTTATAATTATACTCCTCCGGTCCTAATTATAAGACCCAATTGACTTATTTGAGGAGATTAAGGAAGTAAGTTAAGTTGGTTATTTATAATAAATAAGTGTTATCATTCCTAAAATATCCTTGCTAATTAAGTATATTGGCTAAAACTATCATTATTAGAAGGATTATCTTGGAAAAAAATGCATAAATATAAGAGACAAAATGGATTGGGTCTTATAATTAGGATCAAATAAAAAGTCAAATTGGGTCTTATAATAAGGACGGAGGAGTACATTCTTTTGACGTTTATTCTTATTTAATAATTATATTAATTACCCCCCCCCCAAAAAATTAAAGGCATTCTTAAAGAAAAAACTCACTAGTCATACATTGAAAGACAGAGATGACTTGCATTTTCTAACATGTTCGGAAAAAAATGCGCCTTATAATCCTGAATGGAATGCACATGCCAAGCATTATGAGTTTATGACTTTCATCTGAAAATGCTCGACACATAGGAGATGAGGGGGTACTTCCTACGTCCTTAAACGCAGGGCACATTTAAAATATTTAAAAAGTAAATAAATTTTACTTATATTTAAAGCTGTGAACTAAAAAAAATTATTAAATCGTAAACAATGATGGTTTTGAGAGAGACTGATTAATATGACATTTTCTATGTAAAGAGACCAAGATACGAGGCTGTTAATTTGTTTTAGAAATGACTGATAATACAGATTTATAGAAAGTATAGTTGTGTTTAGAAATCACTCTCCAAAGAAGTTTCCAAGCGTGATTTTGAATGGTTATAGGAAAGTCTGAGCTTAGTCTGGATTCTATATTTGAAATAAACATAATATTTGTTACGAAATGTTAGCTATAAAATTAATAATTTAAAGATTTTTATTTATTCATAAATTTTATTAAATTTGTGATCAGTAGCCTGTTTTTTTCTCTGCCATGATGAAAGTTTGAAAGAAAATCACAATAATGTGATATTTAGCACCAAGCAAAACTAAGTGCAAAACTCGGAGATTTTCCCGTGGCCCATAATTAATCGATAGATCGTGGGGCGATAATCAAGTTCCGAGAGACGAGTTAGGGGGTGTTTGGGAATGAGTAGAGGTGCTTTTTAAAAGTACTTTTTTATAAATCGAGATAAACTCCTCAACACATTTACTTCGTATACCGTAAAATCACTTTTAAAATCATGATTTGGTTTATATCTAAACACCCCTTTAATATTATGAATTTTTCATGTATCCGCTGCACCGCCGGCAGCATCTGCGCACAAAAACACAGTAGTACTCCCTCGTTTTTTTTATTATAAGTTTTAATTTTTTTAATGGGTCTTTTTTTTAAATGATCAAAACCAACTCAATAATTGAGTCTTATATTAAGGTTTGGAAGAACATATTTAATACATACTCTTTTTTTATTTATTTCACTATTATTTTCTCATATTTACCCATATATATAGGGGTATTTTTTTAAAAAATTATATTTGTTACATATTAATTGTTTTAACTAATTTTAACAGTTTTTTTAAATGACACAATTTAGTTAAAAAGATTTTATAATAAAAAATGGATGGAGTATACTAGTATAGTTTGAGAACGGGCAAATTGCTTCTTTTTTTCAGTACCGATTAAAAAAATATTTTTTTAATTGTTCATGAGCGCCACCCTATTAAAAATAATCATTTTCAACAATGTCAAACATTAAATACGAATATTTCTCCTAATAAAAATTTTAATCTCAATTTACTATATGTGAAAAACAGCATCTTTCGCTAAAACCAACTGGCTGGTAAAAACTACTTCTGAATTCGATATTAAAAATATACTAATTCTATAATCATCCATTCATCCTAAACAAAAATTTAAGAGGAGCTCCTATGGGTCTGACATTTCCAGACAATTCAGTAGAAAATTGTGGAATCCTTCACATTTTGCGGAAAAGAAAAAAGAAAATTGCGAGATCGAAGATCGTTGTCTTTTCTGGCACATAAATAAATGAAAAATAAAGATCGTTGTCCTCGCATGGATGTTTGATTTATTGATTATGTGGGTATTCAACTTTCAAAATAAAATATTACAACTACCTCCGGTTCTAATTATAAATGTTAGTTGACTAATTTAAAAAAATTAAATAAATAAATTAAGTTAGTTATTTATAGTAAATAGATGTTGTCTTTCCTAAAATATCCTTACTAATCAAGTGTATTGGTTAGAACTATCATTGTTAGAAGGATTACATTGAAAAAATACATAAATATAAAAAAAAAGGTGGATTGGGGTCTTATATTTAAAACCAAAATAAAAATAAATAAAGTCTTGTATTAAGAACCGGAGTATTATTTTTATAAGATTTGATTACATTATTATATATAAAAACATGCTGCTTATTCACAAAAGGTCAAGTAAGGGAGGGAAAAAGCGAGAAATAAAATTTAAAGGGAATATATGAAAAAAATAATGCAAGTAATTAGAATAAAATTGATAAAAATATATTTAATGTTAATACAACTAAGGTTGTCAAACTCTCGAGTTTAAACAAACTCGTGATAATGGTGTAAACTCGAATCGTAAACTCGAATCATAAACTTTTAAAAGTTTACTTTTATTAATAAATTGATATTAAAAGTATATAATTAAATAATTAATATATAAAAAATGAGAACAATTTCATTTAAATATATTTTAAGTTTAAATAATTGAAATTATATCTATCAATGTTCATAATTTATCATATTTAACAAAGAAATTTCTATAAAAATCATATATAAAACCACAAAATATAATCAAATTAAAAAATCTAGCACGGGTTTAAAAGAGAGTTGACATGATTTTGTAAGTTAAAAACGTAAAAACAGTAAACTCGGTAAATGAACTCGTAAGTTTAACCGAGTTTATAGTTATCATGAGTTTAAGAACGAGTTGACACAATTTTGTTAGCTGAAAACGTAAAAATGTTAAACTCGGAAAGTCAACTCGCGAATTTGACAACAGTAAATATAACTTCAAAACAGATATTATAAAAGAAATCAGACCTGTTAAAAATTTAAATCTTATATAAAGTAGAGGATGGAGTAAAACCCAACATAAGTCAGGTGGTCAAATCAGTAAATTCATGAACCAGTCTCTTGAATTTAGAGTTTTTAACAAGTCAATTAAGTTAGAATTTATATATACATACATTTTTATATAATTCATATATGAATGTGGTACTTGTTCGTGAATTAGATTTTTTAATTATTATTTTAAGACCGACGTATAAATATATTTTTATATATTTTAATAAAATTACATATTGTAATTATAATTGAATTAATATTAATAACAGTAATATTACTTCAGGTCTTTAATATAAGAATTAGTTTGATTTTTAATTTGATCCTAATCTAATTTGTCTCTCTTATTTATTTATTTATTCTTAAGATAGTCTTTATAATAGTCGACTAGTTGCATAATTAAAGTTAATATACATAATTAGTAGGGGTATTTCTAAAAAGACAAGAATTATTTATTATAAACAAATAATTTAAATTTTTTTAATCTATTTAATTAATTAACTAATTTTTATGCTAAGAACTAGTACCTTAGTAATAATTTAACTATGGGGCGGTTGTGACCATGCTGGTTCAAATCCGAATCAGGCGCTCCAAATTGCCACCAGCGCGAGACAACAATTAACAAGTGACTCAGGGACATGGGGCCGCGTAAAACACGTGGCGAGGAATCATTGATATAATGAGATACCGATCTAGATTCAGTTCAGAGAATCATCGGTGCCCACTTTGGCCGTTTGCCCGTTTTATTTTATTCTTGAAGGATGTTTGGCAAATTAAAAAACTATTTTTTTTATAAATCGACATAAACTTTTTTTATTGTACACTGTGAAATATTTTTTTTAAAAAATCATGATTTAGTTTCCAAAATACCTTCTAAAGCTATCACTTCTCTCTCAGCAGTCATCACCACACACCAGTCACCAAAATGCGAAGACTTAGAGCCTGTTTGGTTAAGTGATAGGATCTCAAATAAGCCCGTTTAAATTCAAATAAGTGCTTATGAAGCATGTTTAGAGTGTTTGGATGATTTTTATAAAATCCTGATGAATCGTGATTTTAACCTTCCACCGCACTTTTAGGATAAGCAATAAGAAGTAGCTTTTGCGTTTGAAAAATTCCGATGAATCTTCAGTAACTAAATTTTCTCTAATATACCCCTCATTCTGATAGTAATTATTTTAAATTTTTTTATATTTTCATCCATCTCTTATTTATATGGGGTCTTTTATTTAATATTTGTACTCTACATAAATTTTGTAAGTGATTTTAAATAATAATAATTTTAAAATAAAAATAATATTTAAATATTCATGTCATTTATTAAATTATATTTAATAAAATTTATTATTAAATATAATAATTATGAAAATGTAAACAACTTTATTAACTTCATGTCCTTTTTAGTAATTATACACCCATAAGTGATTTTAATAAATAAAAACCAAACATAATAACAATTCTTAAAATCACTTATAAAGAAAATATCCAAACATAAATCACGATTAACTAGTGTCACTTATAGCCAGTATCACTTATAAAATTCACGATTATCTAAAATCACAGTTGTTCACCGCTAATCCAAACGGACACTTAATTAGCGTAAATTAATAAAGCACTCAAAAATGAATAAAGGTGAGAAAATTTGATGTAAAAAATCACACATGGAGCCTCTATAAATACAGGGTATGCCATGTTGATTGTCCAGACCAAAACATACGGCAAAGAAAGCTAATGCAGCCGAGAGGCAGGGTTTACAACCGAAGATCCAGGAGCTTCACAAGGTCTAGACTCGCCATCGAGGGTAGTTAGGTTCAGCTTCCCCCTTATCTCTCTATACCCCTCCTTCCCCTCTCAGCAGATTTCATTTCTTCTTGCATCGCGTCGTTTTCCCTCTCGCATTTTCTGCAATGGCTTCGATGGCGGCTCAAGGTGCAACATTTTTCATAATTTTTGTTTGGGCTTCTTTTGGTTGGATCTTTGCAAGTGGGATATTTACAACTGATCCCAATTTGTTCGTCCGTAGGTTTGGACGAGCGTCAGGTTCAGAAAACTTACTGGACGGAGCACTCAGCGGATTTGTCCGTTGAGGCAATGATGCTTGATTCTAAGGCATCGGATCTTGATAAAGAGGAACGTCCCGAAGTGCGTTTCGTAATTTTATAATATGTCGTTCTTTTGGCTACGTCATATATTTCCAGCGATTCTATTATAATTGAAAAGACCGCAGTCAAATCTTCTTTTTTAATTGTAATTTTTTTTACAACATTTCGGCAAGTTCTGATTTACCCATGGGATTTGAAAAATTCCTCTTTTTTCCTGCGAGCATACATGTAAATTTGGATATTTATTTGTTGAATTTGGTTTTCTTTACGGATAGCAGCATACAAGGCTTGCTAACTTGTATATTTACCCAATTTCGGTATTACTTGCAACGTAGTTTCCGTCTTTCTTTTCCTTGTTCCCTTTCTTATTATCGGAAGCCAGAGCCAGCGCTTTTGTAACCGCTAACTCCGCTAAATTTGTCCACATAGGTACTCTCCTTACTACCGGCATATGAAGGAAAATCAGTTATAGAACTTGGAGCAGGTATTGGACGATTTACAGGCGAATTGGCTCAGAAGGCGGGTCAGTTGCTTGCTGTAGACTTCATTGAGAGTGCAATAAAAAAGGTATGATCAGTCTCTTGATGCTCTGGATGTTGGTAATTGACACATCTCAGGCCAAAATTGATGGTTCTACTCCGTATAGGATGCCCCTGATATAAATACCATAACTTTACTGCAGAATGAGAGCATCAATGGGCACTACAAGAATGTCAAATTTATGTGCGCTGATGTTACATCTCCAGACTTACGTATTTCTGAAGGATCAGTTGATCTGATATTCTCCAATTGGCTGCTTATGTACCTTTCAGATGAAGAGGTATTTTTGATCTTTAATTCTAGAGAAAATGGTACAAACCTTTTATGGTATTATGATCAATTAAGGTCCGGTGAAATTAGCAGAATCTATAAAGTGATGACTTGTGGTTTTTGGTAATAGTTGCCGGGATGAAAATTATTCTTATACTCAAGATTCTGTTATTATGCTTTCTTTGATCGTTTCCTTCTGGCCCTGTATCTATTTATCTATGGTTGAAGATACCTCCATTCATGAGTTTAGATTCCATAAGAAAAAAGGAAATTAAACAAGATTAATTCTTCAATTTTCTTTTCAAGGATTGAGTTGAGTATATCATCATAGGTTCTGTTTTGTCACTGTTTGATTTTGATGATCGTGTAATATTGCTTCCTTGCTCACTACTTTCTTTTCTTATAAAGCCTTTTATTTTTCCTTGATTTCTCAGGTTGAGAAATTGGCAGAAAGGATGGTCAAATGGTTAAAAGTTGGGGGATATCTGTTTTTTAGAGAATCTTGTTTCCACCAATCTGGAGATTCGAAGAGAAAACACAACCCTACTCATTATAGGGAACCCAGGTTTTACACAAAGGTTTGTTCCTTAAAGTAAATCTATCTTTCCTACTTGGTCAATGTAAAAAAACGCTAGATGGAAAGAGGAGTAGGACACATTTATTATGGTCCCATTTGGAGTTTTATTTCACATTGTTTAACCATCAGACTCTCACATAATGAGGAGCCTTTATTGCCGTAATTGAACCGGTTCAGATTAACTGTGACCTTAAAGAGTCCTTTTTTTCTTGCAGGTATTTAAAGAGTGCCATATGAATGATGATTCTGGAAGCTCTTTTGAACTTTCTCTTGTTGGCTGCAAATGCATTGGAGCCTATGTGCGAAATAAGAAGAATCAAAACCAGGTAAGAAAATGGAGCTCTTCATTGTTGTCATCTTCAATTTCAATTTATTCAGTTGACTGATATCTTTTACAATATCTCTATCATGCAGATTTGCTGGATTTGGCAAAAAGTTTGGTCACAAGATGACAGGGGATTTCAGCGGTTTCTTGATAATGTTGAGTACAGTCATAACTGTATCTTACAATATGAGCGTGTTTATGGACAAGGTTTTGTGAGTACAGGAGGAATAGGTACGTACTAATTCCATCCCCCCATCAGTAACTTGCTATTCAATTGGGATTTTCAAGTTTTGCAATTTAGATAGAATAGAAGTGTGATTTTTTCTTAAATTTCCTCAAGAATAATCTCATCTAATCATTAGCTGGGCATAAGAGTGAAGGAAACTGAACTTCCATTTTTTTTTTTTGGATCCATACTGAAACAGAACTTAATGACTAGCTGAAAAGCAGTCAAATTGTTTGCACCATAATTATCTGATGGCAGTTTGTTTTCCGTAACAATAGTGGCAGTCACACTGTAGATTAAGGAAAATAATGCATGTGTGCGGGTAAGAAATCTGTTAAAAATTGAAGAAATTTTACTCTTGAACTGCTTAAAAGCTGGCTGTCCGGCATAGTAATCTTTCTGGCGATTTGAACTGTATTTAACCAGCGCATTGAGGTATCTTTGCAGATGTTTTTATAGTTCCAATCTGTAAGGGTGCTTGTTGCCTGTGCAGAAACAACGAAAGAAATTGTGAAGAACCTGGAATTAAAGCCTGGTCAGAGAGTATTGGATGTTGGTTGCGGTATTGGCGGAGGCGACATTTACATGGCTGAGAATTTTGATGTCGAGGTTGTGGGCATTGACCTATCCATAAATATGATTTCTCTTGCAATCGAACGTGCTATTGGACTTAAATGCTCAGTTGAATTTGAATGTGCTGATTGCACTAAAAAAATATATCCTGAGGGGACATTTGATGTAATCTACGCCCGTGATACCATGTTACACATCCAGGTAAGGAACTTCTTTTTTGTTCAAAAACTTTGGGTTTTAGCAACTATGAGCATTATAACACACAACAGATGTCTGTTATCCTTCAAGTCTCTCGAATAAGCCAAACATAATCTGTCTTCATAATAGCAGATTTTATACTATGCATGTCATTGACCGTTAAAGAACATAAGATAAATAAGATACGGAATTTCAATTCCACCAAATCTTATATTCGGCTCACACCTTTTTTTGGGGTGCTCTTCCTCTCTTATTGACTCAAGAGGTAGAGTTTGTGCGTAACAGCACTAACGGCCCTAACTATCCTGCTTTAGCCACTGTTAACAAATGAACAACAATAATCCCCATCTGTTGCAATAGTTTGTATTGTATCGTAATGCTAGCGTCCTGCAAACTCCTGTATGTGTTACAGGATAAACCAACATTGTTCAGGTCATTTTACAAGTGGTTGAAGCCTGGAGGTAAACTTTTAATCACTGATTACTGTGTGAGTGCTGGAGGTCCGTCAGCAGAATATGCTGAGTGCATCAAGAAAGGAGGATATTATCTCCATGGCTTAAAAGCATATCGTCAAGTATGTTGCATGTTCTATTAATGTCATGATCTGGCTTCCCATTTTGCCTATTTGATTTGATTGAATTATTTTGCCAGTTAATTTGTTTTTAACCTAACAAGACACTTCATTAAAAATCGTCTGCAGATGATCCAGAATGCTGGATTTGATGATGTCATTGCTGAGGACCAAACCTATCTGGTTTGTCTTTACATTGCTCGACATTTAAATTTTTGCTGTTCTTTGAGAGTTCTAACGAAATTATTGCTTGTGCACTCCAGTTCATGAAAATTTTGCGGCAGGAGTTGTATGCCCTTGAGAACAACAAGGATAGCTTCGTTTGTGACTTTTCTGAGGTTGGTTTCTTCTCATGTGCCATTGACGGACTTATTTCTTTTAGTTTTGAGGTACTCATTCTTGATTCGTCAATTTCAGGAGGAGTACAATGAAATTATTGCAAAGTGGCGGGCAAAGAAGAACAGGGGTGCATCTGGTGAGCATATATGGGGCTGGTTCATTGCGACTAAGAAATGATGCTTCGCTTTCATCATATGGCATAGGGTTTATGTAATAGATATAATTACTTATTAGTTGTGCGTGGAGGGAGTTTTCCCAACGCTGCTTTAGTGTAGCACAAGATAAACCATTTGTGCCTTGTATGCGTGCCTTTTTTATGTTATTGCTTCCACTCTACAAATTAATAACAAATCTTGTTATCGTCAACGCGAAGCAATCATTCTTTCAGGTCCAGCCGTGATTGAATAGTCTGATTATTCTCATTATAAGCAATACAAGTCTTTTCATCCTTATCCTCCCTAAATCTAGGGAGGTCGGGCTAAATGCTCCTTCCCAGTCGCTTAACGAGTGTTTATGGTAAATTCTTTATGAAAAATCCCGGTTGGACTTTTTGAACTTCACTGCAAGCTGGCAAGAAAAGAAAGAGAATAAAGGAGACCTTTCCAGGCTTCAATGGAGGTGACCAGAAAACAGAACCGCAGTTCTGTCGTTACTTAAGCTAACTATCGGATTAAATGCCATCAAAACTCTTATCATACTACAGCAAGGGTAAAAGGAAATGCTATATAGAAGTAGCATCTTTTATAGAGTTAAGATCGGAGAACACAAAACGGACACGCAGCTACGCAGCTAGCTGTAAACGAACCACCACATTGAAAGCATAACATTGACGTGCATATAGAACCCATGTCTACTTTTTTGAAATTGCCGTGCATCAAATCAAACAACGCCACTTGACAGATAATATGGCAATAAGACCGAGTTATTGATTTGCGAGTGCTTGCAACGTGAGAAATAGGAGATTGGATGAACACCTTCAGGTTTCGGCGCCTCCATTTTCTTCTTCGTCTTCTTCATAATCGCCATATTCTCCAGCCGTGGCCTCCTGATATTGCTGATACTCAGCAACAAGATCGTTCATGTTACTCTCTGCTTCAGTAAATTCCATCTCATCCATTCCTTCTCCAGTGTACCAGTGCAAGAAGGCTTTCCTTCTAAACATTGCTGCGAACTGTTCGCCCACCCTTCTAAACATATCCTGTATAGAGGTTGAATTCCCAACGAAAGTTGAAGCCATGGCAACACCTTTGGGAGGCATGTCGCAGACACTAGATTTGACATTATTGGGAATCCACTCAACGAAGTAGGATGAGTTCTTGTTCTGAACATTCAACATCTGTTCATCTACTTCTTTTGTGCTCATTTTGCCTCTGAACATGGCTGAGGCTGTCAAGTAACGCCCATGGCGCGGATCAGCAGCACACATCATGTTCTTGGCATCCCACATTTGTTGTGTGAGTTCGGGTACCGTCAGTGCACGGTACTGCTGTGATCCTCTAGATGTGAGAGGAGCGAAACCCACCATAAAGAAGTGAAGTCGAGGAAATGGGATTAAGTTCACGGCTAGCTTCCGCAGGTCTGAGTTGAGCTGCCCCGGGAATCTTAAGCAACAAGTAACTCCACTCATAGTTGCTGATATCAAATGATTCAAGTCTCCAACTGGAAGGAAACAAGATATGTAAATGTAGATATTGCTCATCAAGAAGAACAGAGTTCGAATGATGGGCTCGCAAGAATAATATAGTGTGTATACTTACAGCTTGGTGTAGCGAGCTTGAGGGTTCTGATGCAGATGTCGTAGAGTGCTTCATTGTCAAGGACCATACACTCATCAGCATTCTCCACCAACTGGTGAACAGAAAGTGTAGCATTATAAGGCTCAACCACCGTGTCCGACACCTTTGGTGATGGGAAGACAGAGAAGGTAAGCATCATTCGATCTGGGTATTCCTCTCTGATCTTTGAAATGAGCAGAGTTCCCATTCCAGAGCCTGTTCCACCTCCCAGGGAATGGCACACCTGAAATCCTAAAATTATACCCAACAAAAATATTCAGTCTAAATACAAGACTTGGAAACCGGGAAGATATCGATTCAGGCACAAAACTTGGAAGAAACTTCCTATCAAAACCCACGTTTCAGAATTTGAAAATTGACTCAAGGAAAGACCTTATAACGAAGATTACAGTATAATTTTTATCTTGATCAGGGATCATTTTGACCGAGAATAGAGTATAAAGAAGAAAGCACATAATTACCTTGCAAGCAGTCACAATTCTCAACGTCCTTCCTCACAACATCAAGGACGGAATCAATAAGCTCAGCACCCTCAGTGTAATGACCCTTGGCCCAATTGTTTCCGGCACCGGACTGGCCGAAGACGAAGTTGTCCGGTCGGAAAATCTGGCCGTAAGGGCCTGTACGGACAGCATCCATGGTACCAGGCTCGAGATCCATGAGCACCGCCCTCGGCACGTAGCGCCCACTGCTTGCTTCGTTGAAGTAAACATTCACCCTCTCAAGCTGAACCTCTGACTTCCCTGCGTATTGTCCTATCGGGTCTATGCCATGCTCATCGCACACCACCTCCCAGAACTTTGATCCTATCTGGTTCCCACATTGCCCTCCCTGGATGTGGAGAATCTCGCGCATTTTCGCCGAGCTCACCGGGGGTAATATTGGAACTGTATGGATATTTCAACTGTCACCCACCCGCAAGTGCCTGGAATAAAGGCCATGGTAGTGGTCGTTATATAATGATCGCAGCCAGAAAGAGTCCCTAGGGCACAATTACAGGAATGCCCCTGAGAATAAAGGGTGAGGATGACATGGAACGGCTCCTTTGGAGCGAGATTTGAGTAAATATACGTGTCTGTTGGCGAGAAGCTGCATCACTGACTGCCATTTGTAACTGTTTGTCCTCATCCCCGCCAGCCGGCTTAATCAACAAGTGATTTTTCATCATCTCTGATTTTATTTTCCATTTTTCAGGCTACGTTTATATTTTCATTTATCATTGCAACCAGTGATTGAACTTTGTTCCTGGTTTGACTTAGCTGGGGATGTCTACGTCGGGACAGGAGCCAAACAATGTTATCTCCATTTCATCAGATTAAAAACAATTGGGTTTTGATTCCGTTCCAAACTTGGTGTTAATCAGCAAACATTTTACTCTTATAAAATGGTGTCAGTATCTGTTTTTGATGATATCAAGGGTCACGGCGAGTAGGACCAAGATGGATTTCTTCTTGTCAATATATGCAGCGTCCCTACCGGCTTATTTTACTTGGACGGTTAAAATAATGTTTTATAATAAGGATTGCTTTGTTTGTGTTGAAGTAATTCACGATCACGATTAGATTAATTCTATAATACAATCAAATTTTGGATGCAATAATTATTGCGAATACATTAAAATTCAAACGGCACTGCGTTGGAGCAAAGCAAACTTTTTGTGCTAGAGACAACCAATACAAAAACTCAAATGGGCATAAGCCGAAGCGAACCCAACTTTCACTAGGAAGAAGCCCGAAACCAGAGACCGGAAGCTTCGGCCTGTGAAGGTTCACTTCTCAAACAAGGCTTAATTGGATCTGTAATAATGGTTTCAGGCCCCTGGAGGAGGCCAGGATCCACGCTTTTCATCTCTCTCTCTCTCTCTGTGTTTATGTCCATGCGGAGACATATACATGTATGACTTCAGAATTCGAGAAACCTAAGGAAATTCAACATTTTCCAGGCTATTCCGTGCCAATGTAAATGCTTTAATGATTTCTCGGGGCAAGAATAATGTCTTGCCATAGTCTTGGGAAAGAAAGAAATGAGTGGAGGCATTAAGACAAGTGTCACCATAATTTTTCTGAAAACAATGCATCACAATGAGCGTATGGCACTGTTTATCCATTTATCCTACCCTTTTTCCAAGGTATGAAGGACAACCACCATCCATATTCATTATTTGCAGCTTCTGTTAGAGTTCGGTTTCACCGATTGAGTGAGTGGGACAAAGAAAGAGGCCTGTTAAAAAGGAGGGGGAAAAAAAAAACTAGTGCTGTTCGGGGTTAGTTCTTGGAGACATTAACATACTGATAACTGTCAATATCTTCAAACTGTAAAACTGGGCCTTGGAGAATCAGGAATATATGATTAGTTGATTAATGATGATGACATCAACTAACGGCCTATGATTAATATATAGACCGAGGGAAACATTCTCCCTGATTAAGCCTAAAATACGACGCTGTGAACTCGTTGCAGGTCAAGCATAAGGAGATCAGAGTGGGATCAGAGGGGCACACTTTTACAGTATTTTCACCAGGTTTTGGTTCTGGTGGCCAGAAATGACAGGTGATTAGGGCTTTAATTAATGGAATTCAGACTTACAGTAGATAGTGGATGCATTGCTCTGTAGTTTGCATGTACTCCCATTACATATTTTGCATGCACATAATAAATAACAGACATATAAATAGTAGGAGGTCAGAAGTTGCAGAAGGTAGGCCCTCCCCCCAACAAAAAGCTTGAAATAATTAAACAATTATAGCTTTCAAATTCTATATCAGCTGTGCACTGTCATTCCATCATCATGACCAAGGCCCTATATCTAAGAGGCAATCACAGAGAGGCAGAGAGAGACGTCTTAACTCTTACCGCCCCAACCAAAAATTAATAATGGAGAAAAAAATAATTAAAAGCACAGAGAGGGAAAGAGAAAGAAGCAAACCAAGCCACACAGAGAGATTTGTTTAGGACAGGACAAGCCAGGAATGTAATCCAATGAATGGGTGTCCGGAGTTCTGGACATACTGGCCGAAGAAGATTCCAAATGGGGGGCAGTTATTTTTGCTATCCCTTCAAAACTGTAAAATTTTGCATCTCAATCATATATGCATATACGGATTTGCCCAGTTATTAACAAAATTATAAACTAACGTCTCGAAGGCACAAGGATGCTGCTGTGTGAATGGGTGTGTGGCTGGATATGAAGGTGAAGATGAGAGAGAGAGAGAGAGAGATCCGTACAGTAGTGTGCAGGAGGGGGTAGAGAGATTGAAGTGGACAAAGGAAGGGGTGGGAGGGAGCGGAGAGGGGAAAGAGGAGCAGTTCGGATTGAGAACTAGTGTGAAAGGCACGAGACGTGAAGGAAACAATAAATGAGAAGGGGAAAAGGAGAGAGGGGTGATGAGGCTCATGATAACCCTCATGATCGTCACGTCGTTTTTCATTCTCTACTCCCAAAAATCTCCCAGAATTCCACGCTTCTTCTTCTCTCTCTCCCGGTCAACCTCATGCCCGCCTTTCTTTGTCCCATGTTAAACCAACACCATTCTCTACTCTCTCCGTATGCTACCTTGATCAATCCCCATCTCTCATTGTCTTCATGACATACAAATGCTTCACAATTTCAGCTCCCCTCCCCCATCTTTCCCCAATGCCTTCTTTCCTTTCAGTCAATCTATACCATATATGAACCTTCCCTACTTTCCATTTGAACTAGTTGGGGATTTCCGCTTTTCCTAGCCTTGCATGCTCTACTATATACTACGCACCCATTTTTTCAACTTCAACACCATTCCCTGATACTCCATTTCATTCCCATCACTCATCAGGTGTAGGATGAGAAGAGTAGACCCACAAATCAATTAAAGCACTCCCATTTTTCATATTATTCCTCTTGCGGTTCCCTTTCACCGTATAGGCTGAGACCATAGATGCTTCCTTCTGCTATTCCAAAGCTTTTCTGGCTCTAAAAACCCTAGCTTTGATCAATCTGCCTCGTTGTCGATCAGAATGTGGATGGTGGGACATAACGATGGTGGTGAGGCTAGCATGGTTGATCACTCATTCAATGGAAGAAAGCTCAGGCCTCTCATTCCAAGGCCAGTGACTTCTTCCAATAATACTTGTGCTACGACTCCTCCTTGCCTAAGAAGTATTCACGGCTCCGATTTGTTCACACAATATCACGATCTGAGTAAGTTAACGTTGTTTTACTATTTTCTCTCCCCCCACTCCAGCTATTTACATTTCTTTATTTATATTGTTTTTTGAAAACATATAATGTATATACATGGTTTCAGCATCAACGACGGATCAGAGTAAGAAAGAGTTCAATACTCCACCAGTTGTGGTGAGCTCAAGGTGGAATCCTACTCCAGAGCAGCTAAGAGCCCTTGAAGAGTTGTATCGTCGAGGAACAAGAACGCCATCTGCTGAGGAAATTCAACATATCACTGCACAGCTGCGGAGATTTGGTAAAATTGAAGGGAAGAATGTTTTCTACTGGTTTCAGAATCACAAAGCCAGAGAAAGGCAGAAACGGCGCCGTCAGATGGAATCAGCTCCCCATGATTTTGATTGTCTAGAGAAGGAAGACTTAGGTAAAACCAACTTACCATAATTTGTCTGTAATTTTCATTGATAGGACAGTAAGAGGAGAGAACGAGGAGAAAAAGAGTAGTTTTTTATTCTTTATTTTCTAATATGTATGGCTTTGTCCATCACATTTTTTTGTCGGAGATCTGTATTATGTGATATACTTTTCACTTCGATTCCGTTCGGGTTGTTACGTGAGATGCAAAGTTTGATTCTTTTTGTATTTCTTTTTGTCTACAGGCGTTAGTAAGACACTGTTTGAAGTTGAACAGACCAAGAACTGGGCACCCTCTACAAACTGCAGTGCACTTGCAGAGGTCTATTCCATGCCCTCTCCTTTGTTTTTGTCCTTGTTCATACAAAAACCTTTAACGTTTTCAACTTGGAATTCACCTGCTCAACAGCCAAACCTTTATAAGAATATACTAAGCGGTGATTATTTGCATATGATTACCAGAGTAGATATGAAGTGCATGCTGGATAATTAAAGAGAGATCTGCTTTAGTTAGTGAAAGGACCCAACAAATAAGCTTTGGTTATTGGGAAATGAAAAGACTATAGCTAAAAGCTGCATTCCTTCCTTTCTGTCGGGACTGCTGTTATGAAACTTGGCTGTGGGGGAGGGTTTTGGGGCTTGTGCTTATTCATGTCGTTTAGGTCGGTATATTTTTGGGGCACCCCATTATATTCCTGTACAGAATCATGAAAAGACAACTCTCACCCAATTCCCATGTGTCTTCATTTGAATAGGAACTTGGAACGCCCGAACAAAATCTGTGCATCCCCAACCCATATAACTTTCTTTGGCTTCGACTTTATATTTTATTATATATATATATATATATATATATTTATGTGTTGCATTGCATGTCTTTACATTGAACCTTCAGGAATCTGTCTCGATACCAAGAGCAACAAAAGCAGTGGTGGCAGAACGAAGAGCGGATGGATGGATCCAATTCGATGAAGGGGAATTACAGCAAAGAAGAAACTTGATGGAAAGGGATGCCACGTGGCGGATGATGCAGCTATCATGTCCTCTTCCCCATCCTGCAGCCTCCACCCACCTCATCAGCACCTCTACAGCCAGCTTAATTGCTTCCACGAGCACAGTAACAGCAGGAGCAATTGACCCAAAGCTCATTAAGGCACATGATCTCAGCTTTATATCGCCTCACAGTGAAAGCACGGTCATCCACTTGGACGGTAGTATCAGCAGCGACCAAGTTGATCACTGTGGGGAACCTCAAACCCTTGAACTTTTCCCCCTAAGGAGTGGGGATGGCAGTGATAACGTCAACCATAAAGAGAGTGAGTTTTCAGTTTCTGCAATGAATGCCAACTTGACCCCAAGCCAGTTCTTTGAGTTCCTTCCCTTGAAGAACTAACAAACACTTTGCTATGTAAGTAAACTGATGGGGCTGTGATGTGATCCAAATTGTTTGTAGTTCTTGTCAGAAAGTGACCATGCTTTTATTACTAGTGAAGCTAGCTATGATTCAAGGAATTGGTGCTGTAATAGGATTCTGGCTTAGGTGAAGATATTTACCTTAAAATGCATTTGACTATGTATAGATGGAACTGAAAGGGTTGTGCGGAGCGTGTATCCGTCAAATCGCATGCATGTGGAATCTGAAGAAGCAAGGGTCATAAGTTGAGACAAGGTAGCTGAAATGGGAATGGGATGTGACGGGCTTGGACGTTGAAGTGACTATGAATTTGGGATGAAGAATTTTTTTGTTCTTTAGTAGCAAATATGGAAAACCAAATTTAATGTCCGGTATGCGGTAGATTAACATTACATCAAATCAATTCCGGTGTAGTAAATTTTACTGCCGTTCATGATGACGATGAAGAAATCATATAATATAGTTTGCCACGGATGGGAACAGATTCAGGTGCTCATTTACGGTAAGCCAGTGAAAATATAGTAAAGAAGAGAAGCCCGACCAGCACAATTCAATAGAGTTTGCGCGTGTAATTATTAAGTTAATTGTTGATGAAAAATTTGGATTAACATATATATGTTCATAAAAGGAACAAGGCGCTTGGATTTACCTCCACAAGGGATGACCGATTAAAGATGATCGACGAGTGCAATTGGGCAAAAATGAGTGAAATGTTGAGATAAGGAGGGGTCACAGTGGTATACATGCTTTATGGAAGGGGACAGAGATTAGATAGGACGTGTCACTCAAGAGGCGTCAAGCATATCGATGAGCAGAAGAAGAGTTCCACAATATTGCCCACTTTGCAGTAGGGGACCATATCTATTATTCAAAACGCACGCACATGCCGCCCCCTCCTTCATTCCTTCCCCCTTCAACCATACGGAAGGAAGCCCTCGTCATCACATTAAGAGCATCAAGTGTGAATATAACCTCACATTCAAATTCAGCACACACTGAGAATCTTCATGAGAACAAGTACAAAATAATGTAGGTAGATGCTCGTAATAATACAGTACGCCAGGGCTGCCACACGTACCAGACACGCATGCCTGGGGAACAAAGATGCCTCTCCCTTAGCCTCGGACCCCATTCGTGCATTTACATTCATTCTCTCTGGGTTGCTAACTAAATCAGTACTGTTTTCTTGTTTACCCTCTCATATCACATCAAATGCTAGCAATTTTAAGGGGTTGGTCTCCCATCATGCTGGTAAATTAATGTTATGGGATTGCTTTTAATAAAAAAGACACCTATGTTTAAGGGGGAAAAAGATCAACTGCTGCAGTGGGCTATCAAACACCCATAATTAAACCGCTTCTTATTAGCCCATTTCTTTATTCCACTTGCTTTCATTTTCATTTTTTTTCTAATTTTATTTTGGCCAAACTCTTGATGGAAGTCAAGTTGTTGTACATGCTGCTCCGTTGCGTGTCTAAAAAGGTATAATGAATAGTTATATATATGAAAAAACAATTTAATAATATCACCAGGTAAAGTTGGAAGTTGTTACTAAATTTAATACTCGACTACAAGATGCTTTGATTTCAAATGCATGTAACGACCAAAGTTTTTAGGAATGATGTCAAAAACATTTGAAATTCCCTTGCATAGTTGATTTTCTTGTTTGATTCCTATTTCTTGTTTTGCTGTGGGGATGCGTCTAATTGGCCCAAGATTCTTAATTTTGGTTGACTACGACATGAGGCCCATCCCCAAAAAACGAATATTTCCAGTAGAGAATGTAATTTTGTTTGACTATTCATGTCGACTAAAAAAAAATTAAAAAAAGGCTAAGCTCGTTAGACTGGCAGACTAGACATGGGAGCCTTTATTTGCCACTGTGATATAATGGGTTATTATTCATTTGTATTTGTGGAAGAAAATAATAGTATGTGTCAGTTTGGCAGACATTTCTTAATTAAACACCTGCTTTATAAAATTCATAATGTTCAAACCTGTTAAATTTGACCCGTGACTAGGGTGGATCCGTGGAAGACCATATTTAGCTGCTTGGCGTCTGGATTTCATTTTTGTCTAGATTCCATGTCGTCACGCTTAACGTACAGCGCTGGAATATCCAGAATTCCTCTGGGTCCCTGGAGTTTTTTTTATTAATGAAAATAGAAATGAAAATGAAAAATAAAATTAAGTTTAAAAACACGTTTAGTGTGACTGAAAGTTTAAATGACAGCTGTATGAATAATCAACGGAATGGAAGCTTTGAAATACGAAGGAATGATAATACCCTCGATCACCTTCATCTTACTCAGCAAGAAATTTTCTACAAACCAAATACAGTACACTCAAATTCATCGCCCAAAACATAGGAACCAAACATCATGAACACCACAATCTTAAAATAAAAACCCAAAAACATGCAACTCAGCTGATAGAAACAAATGTTAACATATCAACCACTCCTCCGATCCTTAATGTAAGACTCATTTAACTGATTTCATTAGATTAAGGAAGTTAAGTAAATTAGTTAATTATAAGAAAAGTGACACATTTTTCTTAAAGCACCATAATCATCTTTCTTAATACCCCTTCTCCCTTTTCTATTTGATTATAGTTGAGGGAGTATTCATAAGGGTAATTTAGAGAAAATTGATAAATATGAGAAATAGGTCTTATATTTAGAACCAAAACCAACTAAAAAACTGGATCCTATATTAAAGACCGAAAGAGTATATTTTTCTACAAATTCAGTACTACAAGTAAGTGAGCAGGCTCTAAAACTCCCACAAGCGGGGAAGGAAGCACGCTCTGGCTAAGGGGAGAGAACGGGAACTAAATAACCTGAGAGGGGGAAGGGAAGGCCAGGCCATCATGATTTATTTTATTTTAGGGGAAGAAAACAAACACAGGAGAGGACCGACGGATCACGCAAGCGCGTCACGTGGCACACGGCTTCCCCGAGTGACCGCGGCTGACAAGACACATGTCCATTTAGATCAAATTTATAAATAATTTATTTGTAGAGAGTTCTGAAATTATTATGAGCACTTATGATTTAGAACTGTTAAATAATCAAATAATAACACAGAACAACATTAATTTTTAGAGGGTTAATATAATTTTTTAGTACTTTAAGTTTACTCTAATTTTAATTTTACCTCTTTAAATTTTAAATTATAAATTTTGATCTATGAAACTTGAGGGATTAACTAATATTGGTTGAATAAAGTGGTAAAAAAAAGGTCAGTTTATGACAACGTAATAAACCAAAGTTTAAATATTTACATTTAGTACTCAATAATATATTAAAATTTATATAAATTTAAAGATCTAAAAATTGTATGAACCTATTTTTATTTTTAAAGTTGGGTTACTAAATCTTCTAAGAGGACAACAAAAACTGACAATTATTATTTTATTAATTAACAGGTATAAAATTTATAAATATAAGAACTAATTGACTAATTTAAGTAGATTAAAAAAATAATTTAATTTAGTTATTTGTAATAAATATATGTTATTTTTTCTTAAAATATCCTTACTAATTTAGTTTATTAGCTAGAACTATTATTATTACAAGAACTATTTTAAAAAAATAAATAAATACGAAAGACAAAATGAATTGAGATCTTATATTTAAGATTAAAATAAAATTAAATAAGATCTTATATTAAGAACAAGAAGTAGTATTATTTAATGTAAAAACAATTTGGTCTTCATTATTTTTTTAAAAATAAAAACTAAAATTTTGAAGTATTTGAAAAAATTATTAATTTAATCCTCAGCAATAATTTTTCCAACCTTGTGACCTTGGGTCAAAATCATATAGCATCTTGTTCTTTTCCGCGTCTTCCCCGTGTTCAGAACGCGTGTCGGCCCTTCCGCTCCTCTTTTCTGATTTGATCGCATCCCATTCATTTTCCCCAAAAAAAAGAAAAAAGGACAATATATCGCCTATAGATCTATATTTTAATAATAGGATTAATAATACCCGCATAAAGATGCGCCGAGCCGCTTCCCTCCTCCCACCTCCCCCGGCCTTCCCCGGATTTCGAGCTTACTCACGTTACTGCATTATCAGTCCATATTTTTTAAATATCTAATGAATAAATTACATTCCTCCGTTTTTTAATATGGAATCTAATTATTGAATTGGTTTTATTCTAAATATAAAATTATTTTTTATATTTATTAATCTTTTTAAATACTCTATCAACTATAATCAAGTAGAAGAGGAAGAGAAGGTATTAAGAAAGATGATTATAGTATTTTAAGAAAAACGTGTCACATTTCTTATAATTAACTAACTTATCTAACTTTCTTAATATAACCAAATTACTTAAATGAGTCTTATATTAAAAATCGGAGGAGTACTATCTGTTTGGCAAAAAAAAAAGTAAATTATACCATCATCTGATCACTCGAAAAAAAATCATAGCAATGCAATTACCCTAGATGCAGATATTATCTTCTAAATTTATAATTTTTTTAAATTACTTTTACTGAGTGCACATTGTAAGCACGTTTTTATAAAAAGATGGTTTCAGTATAAATAATAATTAAAATTAATTAATTGGTTAGTTCTTACATTAAAAATTATATGTAGTTATATTTTTTTTTCGGGAGAAAATTTTACTTCTTATGAGCGTGGTCAATTTTTATGGCTGGCCTCGTGTGGCAACTTGATGCCAGAATAACTTCTCTTTTTTACCTTGAATCTGCCATTGTATATATATAGATCGTCACAACCTGACAATCCTATTATTAGCTTTTCAGAAAATTGAGATTAAAAGATTGTCACAATCTGCCATTCTTAAAAGACGCATTTGGAGCCAAATGCCTTGCAGCTCGTGAATAATTTTTTTTTTTAACGAGCGGACGGTCATGAGTTACATAAAGATTCTTCTTGTAATTTTAAGTTATTAATATCCGTCTTTTCAATTAAAAACTGCTTACTTTTCTTCCTTTGATACGTACAGAATTACTCTTTGTTAGGAAACTGAAACTCAAAATACGTCAATAACTATTCACTAGTCATTTTTGAAGATTTCTCATGAATTGACAAGTGCAATCACCGATTTGAATATTTCCTCACCTACCAATATTTTGTCCCTTTTTTTTTTTGGCTCCCAGTTACTGTCCTGTGCCCAGCTACCTGCTCCCTTCTATGAAAAGAGGTTCAATGAAGTGCAGAATATTCTCCCCCCCCCCCCCCCAAAAAAAACAGGAAGTAAAGAATATACTTTGCTTCTTACTTTTTTGCCCTTTTGCCCATTTTAAATTTTCAACTCGGCAATTTTAGAATTCTCGATCAGAATTTTAAAGGAATTTTTTCAAAAAAATGTCTTTAAAATTTAAAATTCTAAATAATTTTATTTATTACACTTAATAGTTGATAATATTTAAAAAATAAATAATAATACATTTTTGTGGTTATTATTTGCAATTTTAAATGTAACATCGAGGAGGAATGGAGCTATAAAGTCGCAAAACGAGCGCCGCTGAGCCTCATGCTTCCTAGTTATCTCTCGGTTCACAATCAAACCGCCACAGTCCTTCCATTCTTCCATTTCTCAGAAAACGGAAGCAGAAACGTAGCAATGTCGACGAACTCAACCGCACCCGATACGGCCGACTCAGGCCCCAGCTCTAACCCCCTCTCTAAACCCTCAATGTATCTCCAAGATCCGGATGAACTGCAGAGAGTCTTTAAACGCTTCGACACCAACGGCGATGGCAAGATCTCAATCAACGAGTTGGACGACGTTCTCAGGACCCTCGGATCTGGTGTGCCGCCGGAGGAGCTCCAACGCGTCATGGATGACCTTGACATCGATCATGACGGATTCATTGACTTCAGAGAGTTCTCCCAGTTTTGTCGCTCCGGCACCGAGGACGGTGGTGCCTCCGAGCTTCGCGATGCCTTTAACCTCTACGATCATGATAAGAATGGTCTAATCTCCGCTTCCGAGCTCCACATGGTGTTGAATCGATTGGGATTAAGGTGCACCGTCGACGAATGTCGCGTCATGATCAAGTCGGTTGACTCCGATGGCGACGGCAACGTCAACTTCGGGGAGTTCAAAACGATGATGACCAACAAACCTAGGAATGGCTCCTTCCAGTAGAGGAGTCATTTGCGTTTTCAATTTACATTTCCTTCTAGTTTTAGGCACCACAGTTTATAACCATCACCCGATCCAAAATCTGCATCTCGGCTGCCGTGGTAGTATGTTCTCTCTTACCTGACTTCTTTTAATTTCTAGGTCTTTGTGATTACTTGGCTTTTAGTTTCGATTATGCGAATAGTTCTATGATCGAATGGCCGAATGCTGAGCGGAACCTTTGCATAGACCAAACGAAAACGTCAATCGGGTGCTTCTTACGTTTCGATTTGTTAATCGTGTCATTTCGGTGATAAATGATTTAGTATTTGCTTTGTGACTTGTGATCCCTATTTATCCTTCGAATTTTATTTTCTCAACAACGATTAAAGAACTTACAATTGTTCTTATTGTGGGATTTCCCAGCTTTTAAAGACTTTTTTGCCCTGTCCATTCTTGTTGCCTTTGAGCTGAGAGGGGCATGATTCAAAATTCAAATGAGGACTTTCTTATTTTAAGAATTTTGCATTCCTGGGAAAGAATTTGGCAGGTGAGCAGTTGAAGCGGTATGGAATGATTAAATGAGAGCCTTCTTTCTTAGAAATGTATGCATTTATTGTGGGAAACTATCTCACATGCGGGTCGTTGAAGAGGCGTGGAAAAGTCTTGGTCAACTTGCTTTCTGAAAAGGGGATGCCATGTACATGTGCCCAGCCACCGGCCTGTGCATTTGCAAATTCCAAGTTTGCGATAATTTAACTAGTTATATACTCGTTGTCTTTGGTATTTCAAGTTTCAGAATATCTTTTTCCTTTTAAAGAAAAAAGTTGTTTGATATGGCATGCGTTTTTTCTCTAAATTTTAAAGCAACATTTAAAATTAGTTTTCCTATTTTGATTTTGGAATAAAATAATATTATATTAAAGTATTGGTAGCAATTTTCATAAGAAAATGTATTGGTAGCAGCAAATGAGCGACATATTTGGTAAAGTATATAATTATTTTTACATATTTATTAAGAAAAAATATCTTAGAAAGGTGTTTACATATCTCAAATTCTTATTTGAGCCATTAAATTTGTAAAACTTCTAACAAGATGATATGACTCAAAAAATTTTTTTAAAAATTTTATAAAATGATATCAGCATGTTTTATTTTATTAATTAACATATTTTAATTCTAAATTAACAATTTTTTTTATCTCTATAGCATATTTGTGCAAGTCTTTGATGAATAAAATTTGATGATAAAACAACCTTAAAATTTAATAAGTTTAAGGAAAAATTGCAAAAAAAAATCGTTGAAATAGAAAAATTATAAATAGAAACCTGTTACAACATTAGTTTATGTTTTGATAACAATAATATGGATTTTGATAACAATTTTTGTGAACAGGCTCTTGTATGCAATTTTTTACTTTGAGCTGTCTTTTTTTTGTGATTTTTCCTAAATTTAATTAGGCAATCAATAGGTTTTAATTTTAAATTCAAAATTTTTTTGTTCCCATAAAACACTTGTAATACTATTCTAAGTAAAATTTGATCACAATAACCTTAAAAATTAACATGTTTCATTACATAGCCTTAAAAATTAACATGTTCCATTACATAGTTAAACACGATTCAATTTTAAATTAAGAAATTTTTGTCTCCATGACACTTGTAACGAATCTTTGAATAAAACTTTATCATAATATACAATCTTAAAACATAACATGTTTCATTTCGTAATTAACACATTTTAATTCTAAAGTAACAATTTTTTTGTCAAGATGAAACTATTAGGATTAAGGATTATTATAAAAGCTAATTTACTATTGTTTCTTTGATCGATTTTCAAACTTTGTAATGGTAGAAATGAAGTTTTTCTCTATCAGACTTCTTAAGCAATGCGAGAATGATAAAAAATCCTTATCTCTCTAGCTTTTTAACAAAAAAAAACATTAGAGTCATTTCATAAAATTTTAAAAAATTTTTTGAGTCATGTGATATGATTAGGGCTTTTACAAATTCAGTGACTCAAATAAGGAATTGGGTTATTTAATTATCTTTTAAAGAATTTTTCCCATTTATTACATTTCTTAATAATGAAACCGGAGCATAAGATTTGGATTGATTATAGGGACAAGTAACTGGGGTTCTATATCCTTACCCGCGGAGGATGCTCGGGGGGATTCGCAAAGACCTTGAATTTCGTTTACTCTAATTAAGGATCGGAATCATCGGACGCTAGGACATACGTCAAATATAAGTTGCCTACGGTGATTTTCAGGTGAAATTATAGAAATGATATGGAATGATGGGCCCCATTTTTTGTCCTCCATTTTTTATAATCACGTCTCATTCTTCGTTTCGCTTAAAGTTACTTTAAAAAAATTCATATGCGGCATGTATAGTTACGGGTTGTGATCATTAGGTGACAATAATAGCAATGTCGAGCAAAATTTTTGGTTTCTAGTGTAGAGTCAGATTAAGTAGACTCCGAAGTCCGAATTCAAATATGTGATGCCTTGCGATTGAAGTTTTGAGGATTAACAACAACAAGAATGCCAATGGTGATAAAGGATGAATCTGATACTCAATGCGTGAGAATAAGGATGCTCGTTGCATCCTTAATTACTTATTGCGTTTGGGCACTCGTTTGTGCATACCCAGCTCGAAATGCACTTCACTCGAGTGCGTGGGATCACTTTTTCCATGTCTGTAAAGAACTAGATTTTTTTCCCCCCTTTTAATCGTATTACTTGAAACAACCAGAACAGACGAAATATGATGATCCATTAAATGCTTCGTATGCTTTATTTTTTCAAGGCTCAATTCTGGTTTTCGTTCCGAATGTTTCAATGGTATCCATATTTTGTCAGAGTCCACGTCCCTTAAGCTTTCAACTTCAACCCAAACCGATGGCCGGACTTCGAACATCTTTAAGAAAAAGTTGAAGGCCGAAGCCGTTCGGCTGTCGGGCACATCTACAAAAAATAACGGAAGAAAACCTCCAGATATATGTAGCGTGAATGTCTGATTCGTTCACCAAAATATATCTGGTCTGGTTCAATCACCTTACTGGCTCTGAATTGGAATTTGCGTCACCGTTGTCTGAAATGAAATAAGAAGCCACCTGTTGTGGGCTCTTAACCTGGAACAGAACTCTGAAAAAAAAAAAACCAAAAAGGACAGGTTCAGCAATGGATGACCAGTAATCCCGCAAGAGATTTCAATCCAAACCCATGTCACTTTACTTACCACGACAACGGCATCCACCCACTATCATATGATCACATCTAAACACTTACTTACTGCCCAAGGGTTCTATAATTTGGAATCATTCCCTCCCACAAAATTTTTTTTCCATAACCACTTCCATCGGAGGCTCTGTCATGATCCAAACCACATGTGGTTGTAGCCACTCTTGGGCAAAGCGCATCAAGCCGTCAACGGCCAACAATAACTGGCCACGCAAGCACAAAACTGCCAACACCCAAAACAGAGATGACAGGTGGAACAATGTTATTGGACCTTATTTGAAACTCGGTGCAACCATGGCGGGTTCTTCCTATTATAATGGATGACATCCACAAGAATGGACGCCATCAAGGACCTGTCATCATGTCGTTATCTTTGGTTTCACATGTAAATTACTCGGTACCCTCCAAAACACACAGCCAAAACAAACATTGTGATGCCTTCTGCTCCCTATTACTAGCTACTTCCCGTGTTCATAACCAGTATATTCTTCAAGCTCAAGGTTTTTCATCTTCTTCATTAGCCCTGTCGTTATTGAATTGCCCTGACAGAGGAGAGGGGAGCTTCGAAGGGAAGAGAAAGATCTATATTTATGGCTGATGCATTTGACGAGTATTGTGATCTACTGTTCAAAGCTGTTCTGATCGGTGACTCTGGAGTTGGGAAGTCAAATCTGCTCTCCAGGTTTACAAAAGATGAATTCCGATTGGATTCCAAGCCCACCATTGGTGTGGAATTCGCCTACCGAAATATCAAGGTCGGAGATAAACTCATCAAAGCTCAGATATGGGACACTGCCGGCCAAGAAAGGTAACTCTTCTTTTTCATATGTACATACCTACGCACTCTTTCTTCATCAGTTGTTCCACTTTTCTTCTCCATGTTTGAATCTTATCGATGGTTTTGTTTTAATGGTGAAGCAATGCAGAACTTTCTAATTTCTTTTAAGCCTTTTGTTTTTTTTCAAGGAAAGAAAAAGCTTATGCAAATATTCAACATCTGGCAGCAATAAGAACTATGCCACTTTTTAGCTTCTTTAGTTGAAAGGGTAGGTTTTCCAGGATGGTATTGAAGATTTGAAGTGGGTGTCCATATTGTGTTTTCTTCATCTGAAAGGCAATGAATAGTTATCTATGACCAAAAAGTTAATCACTGAAAAACGCACCAGCGGGAAAAGGAAAAAAGAAACACGACTAGAGCTTTGAGACTGTAGAATCGTTCCGTGATGAACTCTCGGATCTGATCACGTAAAAGTTTAAGTGGGAAAAGTCCATTCAGGTGGGGCCCTGAAGACACCGAGATTAGGATTCTTAGATATTCTGGACATTTTGTTACTGGATGCAGGGACATTTTTATGAAAAGAACGGTGCATGCCATGGAACTATGTCAGAGATGTGTTCTAGCTCAGTATCCCAGCACTCGATTTCAATTTCACCGAAATTCTTTGTTTGTAGTGCATGCTTCATGTGACCTGTCTTCAAAGTTCAAACCAAAGATGCAATTATGGACAAGAATAACCAAATTATAATCATTTTGGATACTTTAAATAAAAGTAGAAAAGAATCTTGTCAATAGGGTCACTCATTTGTCATCACACTAGCTTCCCGCACTTCCTCCTTTTGCATCAATTTTTAAAAGTTCACATGCAATCTTGGTAGCGTAAATATAGGGCGAGGCGGGCCAGGGCATGATGACCAATTGCTCGAGAAAGTGCGTGGACAATAGAAGGAAATGTTCGAGTTGAATTTGCGTAAATCAAATGAAATATTATCAGCATTAATGAACTGTTCATTATTAATTATTAGAAACCTTTAACACAGTGGGAGAACTGGGGCTCTATAAACATAAAAGCAAATGGGTAGTTAGTCATAGAGAAAAATGCATGTGAAGTAGGTTGGTTTATCACGTTGTTCCCAGCCCCACAAACAAACAGCTTGTAATTAAAATCCAAACACCTAATTTCCTAATTTACAGAGCCACCCTCCTGTATCCTGCAAAGTGCAGACCACATGCCTAAGTCGGCGAGCATATGATGGTGTGAGACATGAACAGGGATTTATGTGGAGAAGAACAGTTACTTTATTACTAACTCTTGATGAACAAGTTTGAGTGGTAGTGGTTTTATGTGCGGCAGGTTTCGAGCCATAACAAGCTCATACTACAGGGGAGCATTGGGAGCACTGCTGGTGTATGACATAAGTAGGCGATCAAGCTATGAGAGTGTAAGAAAGTGGCTATGGGAGCTCAAAGAATTTGGGAACGAAGATATGGTAGTTATTCTGGTGGGAAACAAGTGCGATTTGGACCAGTCGAGAGAAGTTGAGAAGGAAGAGGGCAAAGGATTTGCGGAGACAGAAGGGCTGTGTTTCATGGAAACCTCTGCTCTGCAGAATGTGAATGTGGAGGATGCATTCTTACAAATGATCACAAAGATCCACGACGTCACCACCCACAAAAGTTTGGAAGTCAAGGCCAACGGCACAGCCACCAGTATTCCAAATGGGAAGCAGATCACTGTGATGGATGAAGTTACAGCAACCAAGCAATCTAGTTGCTGTTATAGTTCAGGTTGAGAGCTCTGCATTTGCAATATGTTTCGGGATTTTGCAAATGTCGTGGGGTCTTCTATACTTAATCATCTTACCCATTTCTCTTACCAATTTTCTTTACGCTGCCTTCTCTACAATTCATGATTACTTGTTCTCTTCTAAATGATGGACTCATGACCCAATCACAGAATCTAAATGCAGGATTTTCTATCATATATACATCTTGTTTTGCTACCAAATGAGCAGCGTTAGAGACTACACACCCATATCTAGACATTGTTTGTTCATTTTTTTTCCCTGAATATTTGCGATACGGCTCTTGAAGACTTGGATATTGAACTAATGAGTCGAGGTAGCTGAAAACTACTACTCCTCCGGTCCTAATTATAAGACCCAATTGACTTATTTGAGGAGATTAAAGAAGTAAGTTAAATTGGTTATTTATAATAAATAAGTGTTGTTATTCCTAAAATATCCTTGCTAATTAAGTGTATTAGCTAAAACTATCATTATTAGAAGGATTATCTTAGAAAAAAATACATAAATATAAGAGAGAAAATGGATTGGGTCTTATAATTAGGACCAAATAAAAAGTCAAATTGGGTCTTATAATAAGGACCGGAGGAGTAATTTCAATATCTGAAAATGCGTCATGGTAATGGCTAAAAAAGAAAAAAGAAAATGCGTCATGGTAAATTTATGCATTGTGTTATCTATACCCATTAGATAGACTTCAATCAGATGGTACCAAACCCTTTTTTTTTTTTTTTTAACCATGCATATGGATCTTCCTATTGGAAGTATTTTTATTTGAGATATTGTATGGTACTAAATATAAGTATTTATTTTAACAAGAATTCTAATGTTTCGTTAGGACTATTATTTTAAACATAGATTCGTGGTAAACTGGAATTAGCCCCATGCAAGAGCGCAAAACTGGAGGAACAGGCTTAGGCTTGTCTTGAGAAACCTCAATTAGGCCGCTTTCTGTGTGACATTGGGCTTTTTGCCCATGGAGAGCACGCATCTCATGAAAGTTGGGCCCAATATGGACTATGTATTGGGCTTTGTCTCCTCTTGCTACAATTTTCTGGTCTGCTTCCTGCCGTCGCTCTAAAATCTCCCCACGTTGTCCTCTTCTGCAAAGGGACTAGACATGCGCGAGTCGGGACTCGGGATGCCCTGAAGAAAGTCACTTTTCCCCATTCATAGCAATTAGCAAATTGGCAGATAATTACTACCTCCGATCTTTAATATAAGATTCTATTTGATTTTTTATTTGGTTCTAATTATAAGATTCCAATTCATTTTGTCTCTCATATTTATGCATTCTTTTCCAAGATAGTCCTTCTAATAATCATAGTTGTAGCCAATACACTTAATTAGCAAGGATATTTTAGGAATGACAACACTTATTTATTACAAATAACTAATTTAACTTACTTAATCTCCTCAAATAAGTCAACTGGGTCTTATAATTAGAACCGGATGTAGTATTTTTTTTTTAACGTTCTTGTTATTATTATTTTTTACATAAAAAATAAAATGTCACTAATTTAATAAAAAAGTGGTTTTAAAAGAAATTGAGCATCAAATTTTAAAAACCTATATTTAAATTGAATTTTAGAATGTCTATATTAATTTCTTTTTTTGACCTGAGTTTATATTAATTTCTTAAAAGTTGATTAAGTAAATATTATGATTTTCAAATAAAAATTTATTTGATTTTGTCAACTAGTTTTTCATATACTGGTAAAGAAAATAATTTTTCATATGATATTTATTTTTTAGCAAAAAATATAATACTTATTTTCATTAAATGAAATTATTTTAACCAAAATAAAATTATGGCGAATAATATTTTTGACAAAAGATTTAGGGAAGATAATTTCATTACATCAATTAAAAAGTAAAAATATGATTTTTAAGACTGAATAGTGAATTCAAGGCCCAAAAAAAAACTGAATAGTGATACTATATTTTTTTCTGCTGGAAAAAAATTGCGATCTTGCCGCGTCCAAGAAGATGTTCGCATTTGCTATTAGCACTGGGCGGCAGGAAGGGCTAGCAGGGAGTAGCGCCGCCGCCGGAGTGGGCTGCCTCCGAAAATAATCGATTCGCTACAAGACACAATATCTTTCAAGGTGACGGCGATGTGGAATACAAGGTATGCCGTTCCCAAATCTCCTCCTCTCCTTACTGCATCCACCTGCCTCGTTTACTTGACTTTTTCTCAAAATCCGAGATTCTACTCACATTCTCAACGGCAATCTGCGAAGAAAACTTCTGGCTTCGATAATGTCGCTGATGCTTTAGCTTCATTCAGTACCATGATCAACCTCCGTCCTCCTCCCCCCATTCTGGAATTCGACAAGATTTTAGGAGCGATTGTAAGGATGAAACATTATCCCACTGTCATTTCACTTGTTCGACTAGTAGAGTCAAGGAGAGTGATGCCTTCCATTGCCACTTTCAGTATCTTGATCAACTGTTTCTGCCATACGGACCAAATGGGTTTCGCTTTCTCCGTAATGGCAAAGATTCTCAAGAAGGGTTATCAACTCAATATGATCACTTTGAATACATTAATTAAAGGATTTTGTATTAACGGCAAGGTCTCGGAAGCACTAGACTTTCACGAGGATCTAACCGCTGGAGGATATCGGTCTGATGAATATACTTATGGCATCTTAATCAACGGATTATGTATAACTGGACGAACAGGAGCTGCCATCGAATTGCTTCAAAAGACAGAGAAACAAGCGTTTAAGCCTAATCTAGTTATGTACAGCACAATCATTGATCGCCTGTGCAAAGATGGACTTGTAAATGATGCTCAAAAGTTGGCTTCTGAAATGATTCTTAAGGGAATTTTCCTTGATATTGTTACCTACAATTCTTTGATTTATGGTTTTTGCAGTTTGGATCAGTGGAAAAATGTGAACCAATTGCTGAATGAAATGTTAATGAGAAACATCAATCCAGATGTCTATACTTTTAATATATTGCTTGATGTATTATGTAAACGAGGCAGGTTCGTAGAAGTTCAAGGTATGTTTGCTATGATGATGAAAAGAGGGGTGAAACCTGATGTATTTACTTACAGTGTTTTAATAGATGTGTGTTGTTCAAACAATAACATTGATGAGGCAAAAAAACTATTTGATGGGATGATCAACAGAGGCCTAGTTCCGGACGTTCAGAATTACAATGTCTTGATTAATGGATATTGCAATATCGACAAGATTAATGAAGCCATGAGTCTCTTGAAAGAGATGCGCCACAAAAATCTGGTTCCTAGTATTGTGACTTATAATTCTCTTATTAGGGGCTTATGCAAATTAGGGAGAATGTCAGATGTGCAGGAGCTTGTAGTTGAGATGCATGATAGTGGTCAGCCTGCTGACGTAGTCACTTGCAATATTCTGCTAGACACTTTATGCAAAACCCAACATATTGATAGGGCAATTGCACTTTTTCATCAACTAGTTGTCCACGGAATCTGGCCTGATTTGGATGAGGTACTTAATTATGATTGGCGGAAAGGTGGAAGATTGAGTTGGCCGGAAACAAAAATAGAAGGTGGAATACTGAAGAGTATAGAAGAAATTTTTCAGAATCTTTTGATTAAAGGCTGTTGTCCTAATGTCAAAACATATACTATTATGATTAGTGGACTTTGTAGGGATGGCTTGCTTGATGAAGCCGTGACCTTGCTTTCCAAAATGGAAGGCAGCGATTGCCTCCCTGATGTTGTTACTTTCGGTACAATTATAAGTGCCATGCTAAAGAACAATGAGACTGGTAAGGCAGAGGAACTTCATCAGAAACTAATCACTAGAGGGCTGATAAGATGATGAAAAGCATAGGTTTCTGTCAATCAGACTGAAGCTGTTTTCTTCTATGTGCAGTATTTACTCAATCTGAGCAACCCCCTCCCTTCACTTTTTAGCATGATCTCTCCCTCTCTGTGGTATGCATTTTTCCCTTCTGCTCTGCTTAGAAGTGTTGTCTTTGCCAATTTCCAAACATAATCTTTGATTTAATGATTATTCTTGAGTCCCTCATGTTTACTTTGGTAGTCATTTCCAGTTTTTATCAGAGGACTGATTGGTGTTCTGACTCTTGGGGTTGGAATTATCGTGATACAAGTTGTATATGTCTCCAGACTCACATCTTTCTAAGTAAGTTTTAAATCGTTAATTCCCTTTCCCTTTTATGTAGAATCATATTTTGTCTGACGATGGAATAAATTCATGAGAACAGCTACAAGTTCCAAGTGATGTTTTAATTTCTTTGCTTTTAGGAATGTTGACTTCCTGTTTGCTGGTACTACTCACTAGTAATTGTGACAACCTCCACACTCGTTTGTATCAGGTTACTGGATTTCTCATTGATGGACCTTTTAGAGTTTGATTCTCTAGCATCATGGGCCTTGTTGACGCGATTTAAAGTTTGAGCTAATCTAAACAGCACCCAATAGGGTCTTTGTTTAGTTGTATATTAAATAACTTACTGGCATTCCTAGAGATTAGTGCTGGAGAACGCTCTAAAACAGTCTCTGGCTACGTGAACAGGCAGGTAAGTGGAAGTGGAAGCTTTCAAGAGACTTTTGCCTATCAACATAACCCTCGGGGTAGCAGAAATTAAAGCCACCAAGGGAGGATACTGGCAAAGGTCATTGCTATTCACCTTGTCAGCAAATGGAGATTTCACTATGAGATCCTTATATGAGCTACTGATGAATGAGGAATAGCAGCAAGAAGATGCCATATGGGATGTAGTTGGGATTTGGAAAATGGCCTGGGACGCAGTGGGTGGTGAGTGTTCCTCTGGCTGGCAAATGTTGAGTGATGTCATCAGCATATGATCGAAAACAGAGCTTGCATGATTTGAGGTGAGGCAGATGAAGATGAATAGATGAGGAACACGTGTTGAGAGGATGTGAATGAGCAAAGAGAGTCTGGAGGCCTGTAGTCCTTGAGAGGAGTGGGGCTTCTGCCTAAAATCCTTGGGAAGAATGGGTTAAAGACAGCTTGAGAGCCAAGAATGTACGCTGTGGACAAAGAACGAAGGGGCTGATTATGTTTGGCGTCACTTGCAGGAAATTATAAAATGCCAGAAACAGGAGCGTCTTTGTTAATGTGAACTTTTTGTCATTTTCATGCATGGATGTGAATTTGTGCATCTGACTGTAATTTTTTTTTTGGGGGCATTATAATAGAAAGAATATGCACTGAACTGTTCGATTTTTATGCACCTACGGGATAATTGTCAAGCCCTCATATTTGTGAAATTGACAGTAATTTTCCTGCTAGTTTTCTGGTTTATCGTGAAGCAATGTAACCGACCGAGGCGGTGAGCAAGCGATGCTTGCGATTGCACGCGTTCATTCAAGTTTTTTGCTTTGTTTTTGGTTGCAGGTGTCGTACTTGAGGGAACAACGAGATCGAACCCACAAGTTGGCGCTCATTAGACCCAAGGGTGGCCGTTCATTCGAGTTTCAGTGGTAAGGTTGGAATAATGGCGCTGAAGGAGGGGCTTCAATTGTGATGGTGCTCTGAATGAAGGGTTCCGCCACAATGGCAGATGGAGAGGAGGCTGCTGTAATAACATTGGGCAATGCATTGCAGCATCCTCCACGAGGATGAACTGGATTTAGCGTGGCGTCTCACCTGATCGCATCGCATCTTCTAAGGATCAAGCTGTGGCAAATTTAAATTTGGGGTAGAGCTCCGGCTGTTACGGGTTGGCCAAGGCAGGTTTAAGAGCCCGTCGTAAAAGGACGAACTTCTAACGAGCTGGTATTTTGGGCTGGGCCCACCATTTTTTATTTTTTTAACAAAATCTATTTCAATTCCTAAATATTTAAAATAACTCGAGCTTGAGAAGTAGAATTACTTTCTTCTTATTTAGCTAACTCTACTATAAATAAAATTCATAATACAAAGTAAAAGATATTATATTATAATAATTTTAAAAAATGAGAATGAGATAAAAAACTAAAGGAGTAAACAAAATTATATCTGAAGGGAGGGGAAAATTTTAAAAATAAAATGGGTTGGCCCACCAACCCTATGACATAGCCTGCTGCCAGTTTGATTTTGAGAGTTATTAACTCTAAAGATCCGTTTTAAAATAAACTTGATTTTTATCAACTCAATCCATCACTTATTGGAGGGTTGGTGGCTTGAGCCCATAAGCTTAATCCATATTACTAGCTTTAATTTGGGATAGAATTTAGACACATGAAGGAAATATATATCCTGTTATTTTTAAGAGTTTGGATTTTTTTTCCTATATAGAAAAATAAATTATTTTAAACAACCAAATGAATCATTTTAATTTTTCAATTAAAAAATATATATCAGGCAAAATTTAATCAAATATAAAGACAATCTATTTATTCTCAAAGATGCGAATTATACATATCCATCAAAGAGTGAAAATTAAAATTTATCAAAATAAAGGCTTTTTTTTTTGGGGTGAAAAATTGGAGATAAATCTTTTATTGAAAATTTAGTAGACAAATGGGACTTAGAGACATGATCCAACTTAACTTTTATTATGTACAATTTATCTTCTATCGGGTGCAATAATTTTTGTGTGTGTGCAATGTTCAACTTAATTTCCCTTTATGCAAATAAAATTATTTTATGTACAAATTATCTTCCCTATATACAAACTAACTCTTGTATCCAAATAATATTTTATGTAAACTATCTTTTCTTTGTGCAACTTATTTTTTTTGTGTGGAACTAATTTTTTCCTGTGCAATCAATCATCCTAGAGAACACTTGCCAATTAAATTTGTAACGAGGAATTTATCTCCAATTTATCTTTTTTTAAACTAATAGGAGAATTATCATTGTCTCTATTTCTTACTTGCAGCACGTAGACAGAGAAAATTTTTATGAAGAGATAGCCTAGCACAGTTTCCCCCAGCCATAACAAAATGATCTGAGTGATCGTATTCGTAATTCTCATCACTTGGGTTCAATTTCCAACCCTTGTTACACAACAACATTTTGCAACTCAAGAAGCGGCTTATGTACCGTGCTTTGGGTGATAGGGGGAGACCAGTTGCAGGGCTGCCAAAATTGTCCTATCTCTTCTCCCTTCGTTTTTTGCCGTCACGTGCTGGCTGCCGTGTTGAGGAAGAAGTGATCTCCGTCTTGTCTAGTGTCCTCCTAGAGGTGATTTCTCCGGTTAGGCTGAGGTGTCGGGTGCGGCTGTGGCGTGGTGTCCTGATCTTGTCGCCCTCGGAGAACTGGCGCATGCTGTAATGACTTTTCTTTTTACCTTTGAGCTTTTACGATATGATCCAGTGGCTGCCCGCAATTCTGCATTGCGCGGGCCGGGGGGGGGGGGGGAATTCTATCTCACGAGCTGTTCATTTGACCATAAAATGGCTGTTTTCAGCGTAATTCACAGAGTGGGGATAGTAAAGAATGAAACAAGATTCGCGTACAATTCAATGCCGCCAGATTTACCCAATTCCCACGCTCACTAGCTCAAGCAGCGCGTAGTTTTCAGTGTCGATCCTATCCTTTTCCGCTCAAAACTTCTGGACGCCAAAATTGAGACATTGATGATTACACCAATTTCAAAAGAATTTAATACAAACAAATTGTACATACAATACAACCCTCATAAACAATGGCTTCACTGTGGATTGTTGAGAACAAAAAAGAAGGAAGAAAAAAAAAAGTGAGGAAAAACTGGAGTGAAAAGAATCACAACGTTGAATGAGAATGTACGAGAGGTCATGGGTTTCAACTTCAACCAATCACTTCTTTACTCTTTCAAATACTCCACAACTTGCCTTCCACTTTTTGCAGTAGATTGAACAAGGGTTTAGTTAGCTGTATAATTATTGGTCTTCTATCCAGTTGGCTCTTGTGCAGCTCCTGATGACTGAGCCTTTTCATGTCCTCCGATCGTTCTTTGCACTTGCGAACTAATTATTGGCTTCTGCAATGGCTTCAGAGCTGCCATTATTTCAGCAAAGCTCGGTCTCAACTTTGGATCTCTGCGGCCAAGAAGAAACCACATTCAGTCATGCACCCATGGAAAAAAAGAAAAAAAAAGAAAAAAGAAGCCATTAAATCGTTAGCGACTGGGAAGTCTCTCCAAAGTTCATTGACTGAACAATCTGCTATTAATAACCAGACATCTGCAGTTTAATATGGAGGGATTATATGAATAAACAGAACTACACTCACGTCTGCCAGCATTTTCTGATAATGTCCGCAATGGCAGGGTCCATATCATCTGGGATTTCAAGTCGGCGATGTTGGAAACCCACAGCACCAACAACTTGCATTGGATTCATTCCTCCCCAGGGTTGCCGCATCGTAGAGAGCTCCCATAATATGACCCCAAAACTGAAAACATCGCACCTGCATATGTGGAGCACGATCATGTCAAATACGGCCCTAAAACTTGTTACATGCTTAAGCCTCCGACTTGCAACTTAAATTTATATCCAATTTCGTCCCAAATTAGCGTGCCCTCACCGTAGAGGAAAATAAGACAACTCCAGCAGTTACATTATGACGGTACTTACTGTTAATGTGAATTAGTTCAACTTTCAATAATAGTATACTTACAATCTACTGATGAATATATGGCATATTTCAGCATAAATTTTGATTGGCAAGCAGCATGTGCTGTGCTTAGTATCATACACTCACAATGCACTCTAAACAAAAGAACTTACTTTTCGTTTGAAGGCTCATTTCTCAACATTTCTGGAGCCATCCACTCTGCCTGAAACATATTTGGCGTTATAAAACATTAAGTAACTTCTACATAAAATTACTGAGAGTTGCACGCCTTCTCTCAACAATCCAAGCTGACAAAATAATTATGGAATAAAAACAATGCGTAAAGGAGCAAGATCAACTTATAGAAAGACAACATCCATAGTCTAACCATTAATTTTTTGTCATTGATCTTAAGATAATACACAACGAATTCATGCCTTCAAGGCCGTTGGCCAGCATATCCCCTTTAAAGTTGGTCCAATTGCAGGTGTTTTGGTACTCTCTGTACCAATTCAGAAGGGATTAATTGCCACACCTTTTAAAAGAATGTAGCGGGTGACACTGTGCTTGTTTGTGTGTGGGAGAGATAGGTTCGAGGGAAAAACAATATGCATTATGCAACATGCGAGAAAGTAAACAAGTGAAAATTCGACAAAATACAATGGAACAGAGTCTAGGAAGGAAAGGTTTATATTAGCTTACTGTTCCTGCAGTTGATCTTGAGGAAAGGAATGTACTGTGCTTCACTCGTGATAAACCAAAGTCGCATACCTATTCAAGGACATAAAAGATTTCATACTACATTCATATCAACTCGGAGAATCCACCACATCATTAAGGAAATTTCAAAGCGAGTTTAGGCCTGGCACCTTCACAACCCAGTTTTTGTCAACAAGAAGATTTGGAGACTTCAAATCACGATGGACTATCACTGGAGAGCAGTTATGCAAATAGTTCATTCCTCGTGCCTGAATATTCAGAAGAGACAGGTTACATCTAATGAGAGTCATGGACTAAATCATACATATCTGAATGAAGCTTCACAGAAAGATAACAGAATCCTACAGCATCTAGGGCCATCCTCAGTCGTCTTCGCTCGTCTAATTGATTGTTAGGCCGGTGGATTAATCTATACAAACTTCCTCTGAAAAGATTATCTACATATCAGTATTTGAATGGTCAACAATGCCCACAGAAAGTTCATTTGAAAAACACTTGAAGCAGTTAAAAAAAGAATTTCAACCAACTATGAAATACGCCATATATATAATCTCGATAATTTCTGAATTTATCTACCAATTAGTTTATTAACTCAACATGCATCAACAAATTTTTGGGTTTAAATCTGCTTAAATAAATATTATTTGAGAGTAGAGACAAGAGTATATGATAATATTCTCAAATACATGCCTGTGCACTTACTTGCTACTTTCCCATTAACTTATGGGCCATTTAGTTGTAGCACATGCCACATCGTTTAGTAAACCAACTCAGCAAGATTTTTCAGTAGACATTAGAAATAATATAAAACTAATGATGAGCCTTGACTCAACAGCTTTTGGGATGAAATGGTGCTTAACAATAGAAAACTACATATAGCATTATTCTTGTCTTAAAGAGGAGAAAAGAAACTGTTCCACAACTTCCAAAACACTGAAAATCTGAAATCAACAATCTCTTAACCTCTAGAAATGAAGACCTCCAAATTACCTGGGAAGAAATTCTGTGACAATGGAAAGATTTGGAGGTTTAGTTATAGCTCCCATGAAGAGGACAACATTTGGATGCCTGAGCCTTTTCATTATTCGGACCTATTGCAATTTAGAATATAATTACATAAGCACTCCCATCATCTAGATACATTGATTTGACAATCACCCAAAGAAATCACATTTAAATTTCAGGGGAAGTGCGTGTCACTACAAATATAGGATGATGGAGCCAAAAATATTGATTACTTAAGTTAGAATCATTATGCAGAACTAATAGCAGAATCATATCCGAGAATATTTCGAATTGATCAATCTTGATCACATTTAAAAATATATCGGAAAAACTAAAAGGTCAAGTAGGACAAGGTCTCTGTCTCCATACCAGGCGCTTCCCAATTAATGAACGGGCAAAGAGAATAAACAAAGGTAGCTTTACGTTGGCGAGTGAACAAGCCCATATATAGCAATCGAAGCATGTTCTAAGCAACATAGACAAATATTCCTCTTGGAAGCAGGAGCCATATGCCATATTGATATAAATGTACTGGAAGCTATAAAATACTACCTTCTGTCCTTAATATAAAAGCTAATTGACTAATTTAAGCATATAAAAAAAATTAATTAAGTTAGTTATTTGTAATAACTAAATGTTATCTTTCTTAAAATATTCTTACTAATCAAGTATGTTAGCTAGAACTACTATTTTTGATGAAACATTTAACATGTGCAAATATTATAAAGACTACCTTGGGAAAAAATAGATAAATATAAGAGATAAAATAGATTAGGGTCTTATATTTATAATCAAATTGAATGTCAAACTAGCTTTTACATTAAGGACCAAATATTGTATTTGCAGAAAGAAAAAGAATAAAATGACTAAAATAAAACAACAGATCACTTTTATAAGGTTTCTGATTATGGAGCACACATATCACATCACCGGCAGCAACTGAGAAGACAAACATCATGGATAAATCTAAGATCCTACTTCTAAAATCTGAAGTATACATAACCATTAATCAACTGGAAGCACAATCTGAGTTAAAAACCCATGGAGTGCAGATTCACTGCAGCGAAGTCAAGGTGGCTTTTACCTCACTTATGAATTCCTCAAGAGATTCACCATAGATGTCTTGATCCAAAAATCTCTTTACAGCGACTTCCTAAGAACAAAGTGTAGCAACTAACAGTAAATACAAATTTTATAACACCTATATCATAAGTGAAAATTACCCATGAAAGCAAAAGATATGGATAATTATTTTGGTAAACATTCGATTAATTAACAAAAGTACATTTTTGTTTTTCTGCATTTATTGCATATTCAAGGGTGAAACTGCATAAGTGAGAAGTTGGGTCTTGAAATCCACAGTTGCGAAAATGAAAAAAGTAAATAAGAGGAAAAAAAGATGCAATACACACCCACACACCCCTATGAAAAGATTGCAAATAATACAAGATGTTAAGTCAAGAGCATTAAAAACACTCACAGTTCCATGCCATTCACCCCGGTACACCTCCCCATATGATCCTGAAGGCCAAGCATATGCTGTATTAGTGAAATTAAGTCTTCAAATCTAAAACCAGAAACATCTATTGCCACGCATTATAGCACCATCTAAAACAAGAATGTAATTGAGTCTTATAGAATATTGCACAATTCGTACCAAGCCCAATACGCTCACCCAGTGTGATATCCTCCCATGGAATTTCATACTCAGCAACATCATCTAGTGCGGAATCAGATTTTGTACTATCATTACTTATTGATCTGTCAGATATTCTCTCACCTTCTGAGTTTGCTCCTAAACCACTATGTTCTCCATGATCACTACCCTTCTGTTCATAAAAAGCACCATCTGAATCTCCATCACTCCGACTTCCCTTACCAACAGCCGCAGTGGTTGCTACTACAGCTGCAGCAGTAGCAGTAGCAGCTGCTGCCACAGGAAGCTCAATAGTTGAGTCAGTACTTGACCTTGCCACGGCAACTACCATTGATGAAGCAACAACAGCTGCAGCTGCTGCTGCAGCTGCAGCAACTGGTACATTTTTCCCATATCTTATAGGAGTTGCTTCTGCATGTGATTGTAGGCGCTGTCCAGCTGCTTCCTTAGGATCAAAAGGAAGGTTGATCCCTAAACCTTCTACAGGCTTAGAATGCTCCAGCTGACTGCTAGGAGTTGCTTTAAGATGAGCTCTGTAGGGAGGCAAAGGAGGCAAGAATTGAGCAAGACTTCGGTGGGAAGCAGCCTGAGCTTCCAGGTTCCCACACTCCCGTTCATATTCGTTTTCCTCAGTGTTGGAGTTAGTCTCAACAATTGGGGCACCTAACTGCTCATGATAAGTTTCAGAAAACAAGTTTGGAGGAGCAACAACACCACTTTCAAGTAAAACATCGTGAAGTTTTTGAGCTAACTGAGGATTCCCCTTTGCAGCATCTATCATATATTGTGAAACATCTTTCACTTTCATCCTACGTACTGCAGGGGAACTGATCCCTTCAGTCCAAGAAGGAGATCTTGCATGAGCGTAGGGATGATTTAGTCTACTCGGAGCTCCCTGCATTGTGAACTTTTCCACATTAGGGGGACATCTGAAATCATCATTCAATGGGCTCTTTGATTCGTCTTCACCTAAAATGGGATTGCTTACATAAGATTCTTTGCCCAAATAGGCAATCTGTTTTGATATGTTTCTTTTATCAAATGTACCAAAGTCTGAAGCTTCTTCAGATGAACTTCCAATCCCACTGCTTGATGACGCTACCCGAGAGGAATCAAGGTCCCTTGACAAAGGACTGCCCACAAAAAAGGATTCATCATACTCGTTATGCGATCCAGGTGCATCAGATGGAATAAGTGTTCCAGGATCTGCCATCAGGTCAACAATGTATTCCCTGAAATTTATACTAACCACATCTTATAGTTACCAAATAACGCTTTGCAACTTCTATTTTAAAAATCTATGAAAAGAATGTCAAAATATTCAGATACTATCACTTTTCAACAATTATTTCGAAAAACTACAAATTCTACAGAAAAAGAGGCTAATAGAAGACATAAAAGGGACTAGTAATAAAACATAGGTTCTGCTCTAGAGCAGCCGGAGACAAAAGCAGCGTTGAGTACTATTGCATGAGTACTCAATTGAATATCGTTGACAGAAAACAAGAGAAGAAATTTATATATGCTTAAAAGCTCATTTCTCAATAACAATGCAAAGAGAACGGCATAAAACAGATCTTGTCAACTTGACAACATCACACAAAAGACAAATTTATTTTACAGTTACCTTCCACCGTCAACCTTGACAAAGTTCATGGCCACATCATCAGAACCTGTGTAATGTAGTCCTTTGACCAAACAGCATGGGATGCCCACACTATCAGATAAAACCTATATTTAACGTAGAGAAATGTATATCAGAGGTCGGCGTTCGAAGATTATATATCAGAAATACTGAAAATATATATGTGTCTGTGTGTGTGTGTGTAAATGTTCATGAATATCTCTCGTATGCAGTAAAACCCAATTTAGAGAATACAATAAAAACCTCATAGGATGTAACAGTCACGATTGGCTCGTTCTCTAGGTATCATCTAGCGAAAATTTGTTTACATTACTAGAGGCCTCCGTCACTTTATGCATGGGATGGCTCTTGATTAAAATCCAACCCACCAAACAAAATGGATGAGCAAGTACCTTAAATAACAACGCACGATGCCGAGCCAATCCAATGGTCAAGGAGCCAAGTGGCAAAACCATGCTACCAAGAGTTGCTTTGAGACTGTAACTAAGACTCCTCCATGCTCTTGTCATGCTTTCAGGATGTGTAACCGGTCCACCCATGTAGTCAGCCACTAATATGGCAAGCCTCTGCACCAAATTGCTATTTATAACTCCTTCAGAATCTGGTCTTGACTTGACAACCAACTCCAGGGCTTTCTGCTCAAGTTTCAACAAATTTGAATCAGCAGCCCTATTGACCAGGACTGCTTCCCAAGTGACAATATCTGAGGTTGGTGTCCCTTGCAGATCTACCAGGGAAGGCATTCTTGCAGTGGTTGACTGAGACTCATTTAAGATCCCATAAAGATCATAGAAACCATCCAAGATCTTGTCATCAAAACCAAGAGCATTGTAATTCTGTGAAGCATGGATAAATCTACGATATGAGATAAGTTAGAAACGAATATATGCAAGACAAAATAGAGTCAAATAACAAAGAGACATATTCGACTAGTCCATTTTAATTCATGGCACTCGTGAAACAATCCAAACATTATGCAGCAATCTGATTTCAGCTGTATGTCGCCCAATGATAGCAATGTGAGAAGCTAATATAGAGAAATGAAGGCCACTTATTTAAAAAACCAAGAACTAGAAAGTAATACAGAATTGAGGGAAAGTAAACAAAATGCTGCAGATCCCGCACGGCAGAAGAGCAAGAAAAAGCCAACACAAAAAATGTATGTCCTCCGAACAAGTTATAGGCCTTTTTTCAGACAAATCTGAACAAGACATCTCATTAACAACCCTGATATTCTGAAAGAATAATGATATTGATTTGAAATGCATGCCTTAACCATAATTCCCTGCTTCACCGTATAAAACTACATCTATCCATCTAAAACTCATCTTCAATGAATGACATAATCATCAATCTTACTTCGTCCATTGTCTTTGCTTCAGACGGAATCGTCATACCAAGGAGAATACGACCTTAGCGTCAATGTGCTTAAAGTGAATAAGATAACTAACCCAATATCTGTATGCCACAACTTCAGCTGGTGTATTATCAGGGCCACAAGAACCCAAGCTGATCTGCTTAACAGCCTCAATCTGCACTGCCTCGGGATCCTCCTTTGCACTCATCTCTAAAGCCAATTGTATCTGATACTCTTCCTCTACTTCAGGATCCCTCGAACTGCTAGACCCAGAATCACGCATCGCTGAATCAGAAACAGTATCCAAACCGCCACTGCTAAGTAAATCAGATGTTTCCACTCTTTCTCCTCTCTTCAGATTCGAAGATGGAGGACTGGGACCCTGCCTGTTAGTAACCAAGTGCAACCAGCTCGAAATCCCCGGAAAGGGTTTATGCTCAGAGCTTTGAGGGGAGCGAGAGTTTGATGGCTTCTTAGGGAATGAACCATCATTGGAGTTGTGGCCTTTTGATGAATTAGATCCTGCTGCATCTTCTGATCGATTAGGCATGATATGAAGCTTCTTAAGAATGTTCTTCATATCTTTTCGATCAGCTGCAGAACCGAATGCTAAAGAAACTGAAAACTCTCCATTGTCTAGCGACAAGCATCAAATCCCACTCGCCATGTCTCAGAGAAGGTGAGGCGAAGAAATCATTCAAGGAGCCCCTTTTAGCATCAGCTCTTTATTCAAGCAATAACCAGCGAACGCAGTCCAATCAACGTGATCCAGATGCTTGGATTCTAAGTGAACAGTTTTCTTTTAACTGGATGACAAAAAACGACTGTCGGAGATAATCCTGAAACATCCGAACAACCAAATTGATGAGTCATGTAGTATATATCACCTTTATGGAGCAGAAAACAAAAATTCTTGAGGACACATATTGAGAGGGGGGAAAAGGATCTTTCTTTGGCTAAATAGAAGCAGAGCACAAAAAGAGACATGAAGGAGTTTGAACAGAAAATTAAAGTAAATAGAAGAGCAGGCAACCGGATGCTAAGACAGAATGGAGCAACAAGTGGGAGAGTAGGGCCACAGAGTGACCCACCAGGCTAAGGGAGAGAACGACTTCGAGGTCCCATAAAAGGCTGAACTTGGTGGAAAACACGGCCAAATAACTTTTACTTTCTTCTAGCTCCCTTGGCTGTGTGTTTTGCGAACTCCCAAATCGAGTTGCGGGAGAATGAGCATGAACATGAACGTGAGATTTGCGAAGTGCCCGGATTTTGGAATGGTGAATGAACAGGTTGAAAAAATCATTGCTTTCTACATCTTTGCTATTACAAGCAAAACCGATGTTTGTCCTTTGTGATAAATGCCGCTTTTCCAACTAAAAGACAAATGAGCTTAAAGTGGAAGAAGCAAAAACTCACTTTCACGCCTCGGTTTACAATTCCAACCACACTGACCCGACTCTGGCCTTACTCTGTCTCCTGATGCTGCACTCAACGCTTGCTGATAACGGTAGCCATTAATGCTTTTATTGTATAATTTATAAAGGGGGAAAATAGAACTTTTGGCAACCGGATTTTGAAAATGTTTTAACAGCGAAAGAAGTCAAGTTCTCCCCAACACGGTAAGTTAGTAACATTATCACGTTGTGCATGTGTTCTTGTTTTCTTGGAACTACCACGGGCAGGTTTCTTACTACTCGTTGAAAAACGGAGAAAAAGTGAGAAACTCAGCCAATAACTAGGACACAGATTTGCTGAATTCTTCTGACTCTGGACTTCGCATCTTTTTTTAATTATTAATTTAAATTTAAATTCATTTTCCCTACCAAAAGCTAAGATGATAATTCTCCTTATTTTTGCACTTAAAATGAAATCTTATCTGTCATTAACTCATCTAAACTTTGAAACAAACTGAAAAGCTTAAACGAAAAAAAAAATTGCAAACAGGCTTAATTATTTGCTGCCTCATATCCCTGAAAAAAAATACTTATTACAAATCTACCTATCAATCCAGTTCACTAATTTTAATATAACCGTACAAGGTAATAGCTGCTACCTTCATTCCAAGCTGAAACATAGAGCATCATATAAATTTTCGAACTTGAACCAGAATCCCTGTCCTTTGATTAAACAAAAGTTATTATGGTAGTATGATTAAAAATAAGATAGCAAGGATCTGATAAAAATGAATTGCTTATAATTCTAGCAAGAAATCCGCCGATTATTTAGAGTACATTTGACCATAATAATCTTTTTGTTTGCTTCCAAGATGTTGTAAGATAAAGAAATCCCAGAAGGAGAAGAGGGACGAAAAAGTCACAGGCAGATGTAAGCTCCAATTTTTTGACATTTATTGCTGCTGCATTTTCAACCATTAATGCCAGAGGCCATGCCCCGTTTGGATCGTCCCCAAATTATTATTATAATCAGAACTATATTACTGCTATTTGTCAACATGAAAGCGACCCAACCCAGCTTTTCAATGTTTTACTTTGACCTGATTCGCTGAAAAGGAGAAACAAATTGTTCGAAATTCTTAAATCTTCAAAGCTAATTCTGGGGTAAACGGGGTGGCTTCTTCTTATCCAAATCGGGATGAGACGCAAAAAGTACCTGATCTCGATCAAGATAACACCAAGGCCATTCCTCTCTTTAGTATCCCGTCCTGATTTAGCAGGCATCACAGATAGCCTTCCTAAAACTATTTTTCTTAATCGAAGTAATACTCAGTCCAGCACTTCACCTTGAATAGAAAGGAATCTTGATTGGTTACTCAAAACTCTCGCCAGTGACATGCTACTAATTGAAGATAAGAAATGATGACGTTGAGAGAAGATCATAGCAAGCTAGCAACGCAACATATATAAATAAAAAATTCTGGAAAAGTCAAATCTAGCAGCATGCTAACTCATTGAATGTTCCCAGCTAGCTCTGAACAGGTTCATGGTAGCTCAGTTCTTTCCTTTTTACAGTTGTGCCTTCTTCGTTCTTTTCCAATTTCCAGCAGAACGAGTTGAATCGTCCGTCCGTACCCAGCACATCACTTTTTGATGGGTTTGTTGTCTTCTTATATGCATGATCTTCCGTCCACACTATGATAGATTTTCTAGCAAAGGTACAGTAAAAGGCTAGGCTGTCAATTAGAATTATTAATTATTATTGTTATTTTGTGTTTTGCCAACTATTGTAGTTATAAATATCCACTTCTTTCTATTCTAAATATAAAGTACAATTTTTCTTATTTTCTGAATTAACTGTTCCGCTGCGACAGTATCTCTGTTTATCGGGATTTCTTATCCATGCACATTAATTTTTAATTATTGAATGGATGGATAATGCCTGGGGAAACAATGCGGCATCGACGTCACGGAGCTGCTTCTTAATGTGGGAGTGGATGGAGGTGATGAGATGAAGGACAGTAAAAAGCAATATTATAAATAAGAGGGGAATTAAAATAATCTTGAATTATTTGCCCCACATCCGCGTGGTGTTAGCTGTCACTTTCCACATTTAATAAAACCTCGGTGCCGTGGAAATCCTAAGGCAAGACCTAAACGGATTTTTTAAAATTATGTTTAAGGAATTAATTTATAATTTTTTTTTCTATTATTAAGGATCACTCACCATAAATATTTATTGCTTCACTTAAAAATTTGTATTGTTTGAATAATAAATAAAGTTGCATATTTTTGTAATCATAAATTCGCATGTAAATGATGAGATTATTATTATTTTTTCCCTGAAGTCAGCTGTGAATTATGTAGACAGCAGGTATGGTGGAAAATAAGGATGTCTGTCCATCTCATTACTTTGGTTTCTTATTTCATCAAGAAATTTAAGCCTAGATATTTAATTACATTCATATATTCAAAATATGTGATAAATCGAATTAAAAGGTAGATTTCAAGTTTAAAAATAAGATAAAAAATGTTTAAGAAAGAATTAGTGACTCAGATGACGCGTTAAAAAAATATCCAATCCTGTTTAGTTGAAAAACAACATCCTGTACAAGCACTGGAACATTTTTTTGCCCTTTTGTTATTTTGCTTGTGTTTTATTTCTTAATTAGCCTTTTCTTCCCTGTGACGGATTATCTTTTTGTGATGCATTTGCATAATCTTGGTCATGGGGAATAAGTGCATGCCGCTCTCCATCCAAGTCCAACGGCCGACATGCCTAAATTTAGAAGGCGTCCGGTTCAATTAATCACGTGCTTTTCATTGCACAAAGCCCAAATCACTTTTGGAATTGTGACGTCAATTTTATGTCAGCATGTATTCTGTTCTTCTTTTTTTTTCGATGGGAAGAGAAAACAGGAATTACACCGTGTCCTCAATGCCAATCATGTTGAAGCATGATTCAAAAAGCTCACGTGATGCTGATAGCTAGGAGTCATATTCTTCTCACGTATTTGGTGCCAGTATTTTTCGCAAGTCAGTTTGTTAGTGCAAAGTAGTGGGTTATTTTTATTAAATATTTATTAGTTGAAGCAAATATCTTGGGCTGTTCCAGATATCTTTTTACCCAGTCAAATAAGTTGTTTAGAGTCAGTTGTAGTGGTGGTAGTGGAGTCCGAAATTCCTGTTGAGTTAACGTGTCTGTAAGCCTATAAATATGGGCACTTTTATTTATTCCAATGCATTGAGTATTATCCACTGAATATATTTTAGAGTGGGGCCTTCTTTTCTTTACTTTATCACTCTCCTTCACGTGACTTCCCCAACAAATTTGGCATCAGAGCCTTCTTTGATCCTGTGGCTACTCGAGTGAACGTAAGGTTTGGGTTAGAGTGAAACACCTTTTCGGGTTCTTGGGAAACACGAGAGCAGGAGAGAGAGAGATAGAGAGAGAGTGTGTGTGTGTATTACATTGTTTTGACCGCAGATTGAACAGGAATGGCGAGTTTAACTGGCTTTTCTTCTTCTCAACCGCTTTTACCCATTTTTAATGGAGAGAAATATGAGTGGTGGAGCATCAAGGTCAAAACCTTGCTCAAATCGCAGGACTTGTGGGATCTGGTGGAATATGGGTTCATTGACATATTAGAACCCACTGAAGCTGAAGAGGAGAGGCTGAAAGCAACTAAGCAAAGAGATGCCAAGGCATTGTTCATACTTCAACAAGCAGTCCATGAGACTATTTTCTCACGGATTGCAGCAGCCGCCACATCAAAGGAAGCATGGTCCATTCTACAGAAGGAGTTCCAAGGTGATTCAAAGGTCATTGCTATGAAACTGCAATCATTGAGACGTGACTTTGAAACCTTATTAATGAAGAACGGAGAATCGATTGCTGAGTTTTTGTCAAGAGCAATGGCAATAGTTGCTCAAATGCGATCTTATGGTGAACAGATTTTGGATGAGACGATTGTTGCCAAAGTTCTGAGGAGCTTGACTGCAAAGTTTGATCATGTTGTAGCTGCCATAGAAGAAGCCAAGGATCTGTCGGTTCTTTCCGTAGATGAACTGATGGGTTCTCTTCAAGCTCATGAGGCAAGAATCAACCGATCGGTGGACAAGAGCGAAGAGAAAGCATTCCAAGTGAAAGAGACAGCCATTGAACATAGAGAAAATGACCGTCCAGCAAGTAGAGGTCGTGGCAGAGGAGGATTCCGTGGTGGCCAAAATCGTGGTCGTGGTAATGGTAGGGGCAGAGGAAGGCAATCCTATGAGCAAGGTAACACAAAAAGCAGCATTCAGTGTTATCATTGCAATAGACATGGGCATATACAAGCTGATTGTTGGTTTAAAGATCAGAATATGAACTTTGCAGCAGAGGATGAGGAGGACAACAAGCTTTTTATGGCTTGTGTTGATACTAATCATAAACCAAGTGATTTGTGGTTTGTTGACAGCGGTTGTTCAAACCACATGACGGGCACCAAATCTGTGTTTAAGGAGCTTGATGAGTCACAAAGGCAAAAGGTGCAGCTTGGCAATAAAAGGGAGATGCAAGTTGAAGGAAAAGGCACTGTGGGTGTCGACACTAGCCATGG